ACCAAGCGCACTGGTCTCTCAAGGAAAGAACTCAAATGCCTGCCTCATATCCTCGGTCTGCCAGGACGCTTCACGGAGCGCAACAAGTTGGTTAGGGGCAGGATCATGCTATTGGACCGCCAGTCCCTGCGCAACAGGATATCGAGGGGTTCCTCTCAGGCATTTGACGACGGGTTCCGGCAAGTAGACCTCACAACGAGAGAACCTCGACGATTCATGTCCATTATTTCTGCGCCTTTCTTCACCTCATCAGGTCGTTCCGCTGATTGGGGCTTCCATTGCACCAAATGCATAGACTATACGGAGCCAGCGACTCATTTCAGAAATAAGTACACGGAAAGTGCTTTTATGGATCACATGGCACTGTTTGGGATCAATCACAGTGGTAAACGGTGAAGGGAACATGAACGACTTCTTCTCTTGTTCTGCCCAAGTCTCCCGCCATAATTCGTCACCCCACATATTTTCCCCGTTAACGCTTTGGAACCTGCAGATTGATGTGACGCTGCATGTGGAGTATTGAAAACGGGCCAGTGAATTGGCTATTCCTCATGCCCATTTTCAGCAATGGCCTTTTAACGATCCCATCTCCCACCACCCCCTGTGCACTCATACTGCATCTGTGGCCTCCCGTCTGGTGTTTTCCTTGCAATCCAAGTGCCCGTCTACACCATCACTCCCTCATCAACACCCACGATGACGCCGACACGAAACAGCAACATCCAACTGTTGGCAACACTTGTCGATTTCAAGGACGAAGAGGTGGGCGAATACCGCTTTCTGGTTGACGGGAAGCACGTCAAGTATGTCACCGTGGACCCTGGAGTCTTGCCAAGAGATGATCGGACCTTTGCTCCGATATTGATTCCGACTCTGCCTTCCTTCCCTCCCGGTGACTGGAACGAGGGCCACATATCCAAGAATCCCCGGAATGGGGAGCTGGAGTTCTCCCGTTGTACGCGCAGCGACTTGCCTGGAGTTTCAAACACCTGGCACCACACGCGAATCGATCATTTGGAGCTCAACAAGGTCAGTCGTATACGCCAGAATATACACGTCGTCACACATCCGCTTTTCGACCAAGCTCTACTCGTCAAATTTACCGAATTTCCCTGGCAAATGCCCTTCTTTGAAGCCGAGACAACGGCATATGAATGGATTGATGGCCACGACATCGGTCCCAAGTTCCTCGGCCATTTGACCGAAGACGGCAGGGTCATCGGTTTCGTCTTGGAGTATTTGGATGACACTAGGTCCGCTGAAACTGAAGACCTGGCAGCCTGTCAAGCTGCTTTAGCCAGGCTACACTCTCTGGGTATCAAGCATGGCGACATCAACAAGTATAATTTTCTTATTCGCCAAGGGAAAGCAGTCCTTGTCGATTTTGAGGCGGCTCGGAGGTGCAGTCAGGAAAAGGAGCTTAAAGCCGAGTACGAACGCCTAGAGCACTCCCTGAGTGATACTTCGCGTAGAGGAGCGACGTATGCTTTATGACCCAAGAAATTCTTCAACGTATCAGTCGAGGACAAAGAAGAACTGCCTCGAGTGTCGTACTATACAAAATGAGAATAAAGGAAGACATGAAAATCGATGGTTTGCATTTCCCCCCTTTCACAGTATCTCATTGGCCACTCTGCTATCTATGCCCAGTTTTGGCAGCCTACATCACCTTTGCTTACTGTGGGCAATTTTCAACGTCGTTTCGTCCTTGGAGGACCATCATATTGCAAATACAACAGCAATTCGCACAGGGGAATTTTGGAAGCTTCAATTGATCGCATTTGACGAATTTGATGTATTGAAACCTGTGTCATATCCAATGAAACTCCCGAGAATTTACCCTTCGTTATACCCTGTTGGAGCCCCGAATACTCCTACCGTGTCCTTCAATCCGAGCCCTGTTCTGATCTCTAGAAAAAGCAAATGTCACATTTGCCATGACCAAGAAGCAACCTCTAAATATCACATTCACCCTTTTCACCCAACACATCACTCTTTGGCAGTTCAATGTCCACTATCCATGGTAATTGCGTGGAATCTTCGTCAAGGCCTTGAATAGCCGCGTTGACGAAGAGCGTCTGTAAACCCGGCTGTACCGGGCTATCATCCCCCTTGCAATGGCTTGTCCGACAGAATCCGTTGCTGATGTATTGCTGCCGCTTCATGTTCTTTTCAGCTATTGTCTCTGCAGTATCGAATTTTCGAGGGTACAGGGAAGAGAGTGTCTCGATGGTGCAAGACCGCTCATTGTCGATATTTGAGAAATGCAATGGCTTTTCGCCTAAGGTGCCGTCTCGCCAAGTGACGAATCTTGCGCCCCAGCCCTCGTGGATATGACCGAAACAATGTAAGCGTGGCCGAGACGCGGCTACCGCAGAAAATAACGCCTCGCAGCCAGCGCGCTGTCTAGAGCTCGTCATGTCGAGGACGCCTCTGGGCGGCCCGTGGGTAATCGCCACGTCGACGCCCTTGTCGATGGCAAAGTTGTGGCTATCTTTTGGGTTGAACTGGAATCCCCAGTCGCCGAGGGACGGAGTGTATGGGCTTGCGTAGACGGTCAACGAGGCGCCGTTGCGAAGAGTGAAATGATGAGTTCCCTCGTCGAGAAAGATGATGCCGTTTGCTCGTGCGTCGTGGAAGAGGCTCTGGGCTTCTCCAATATCACCAAACGCTTTCTTGATGAGCTCTGGCTCTATCGAGGCATTTGTTTCAGCGAGCTTCTGCTGAAATTTGGGCGTGTCTAATGTAAAGTCGTGGTTGCCGGCAATTACGAGTTTGAGAGGGGCCTCGATGCTGTTTAAAAGCTGGAGTGATGTGCGGAATTCGGCCATTTTAGATTCCTCCGTGAGATCGCCGCAGTGTATGGCCACATCTATAGGTGGAAGGGAGGCGACCCGAGGTGCCCAGTCTTCGGCATGGGTGTCCGAGAGGATCAAGAACCTGGTCTTGATGTCCATGATGCCTCAGATAAGATGAGGATTAATCTAAGGGAAAGAACAAGAGAGAAAGAATATCTTATGGATGTGATAAAGAAGCAGAGGCTGAAGTTCGCGATTCTGTTGCACTCGTAATGCGGAGAGTGGTGGAGGATTTGTTGTCAGGCGAGGTGCTGTATACTGAAGAAAGGAAATGGAACCGGCAAGGTGGAAGGCTCCAGAATAATACTTAAGCCTCATTCCCTAGGTCACTTAGTTGACTACAATTAAAGTTTGGTTAAAAGTTTTGTGACGTAAGAGATGCAATTTGAACTGTCAGCGGTATAATACGCCTAAAGACTAGCTCCAACATGGCTTCAAAATGTAGCTTTGTAGATCGGGGCTAAGGTTAAGCTTAAATACAGTTATATACTGACATATAAAATGCTACAACTCACTGCGATGCCAGGGTGAGAATCTGCGTCCATCTTCTTCGAAATACGCAAGTTCAGTTCGGTGTAACAGCAGCATCGGCATCTCGAGACTCAGCTGGCTCTATTAGAGCCTTGCATTCGCGCTTCTGGAGCTGCAATCAAAAGTCCTGAGAAAAAGATTCCCAAGCCTGTGGAATGGTCTCAAATGAATCGAAACTCAATATCAAAGCTAATGCTTTGCCGTCACTGGGTGTGAGGGATCTGCCAGAGATGTCCAACCTGGCGAAGGACGTCCTGGAAGGTAAGATTGCGAGCAACCATTGGTCTTCTTAGCTAATGGTTTGACACTGTGTCCACAGATTCATGGTGAGTTGCTAGGAAGGACATTATGCAACTCATATCCCAATCAAATGGCACACCACAGACGCAGAACGTGTTTTGTCTCCTTGTAGGGGAGCGCTACTTGTCCTTATTACACCCCTCAGTACTCTCCGGCTACGGAATATGCCGTAAATAAATGATTCTTTCCAGCCTTGGGTCGGCAAGAGCAAGCCGATGATGCCGCTGCCTGGCTGATGTCCCGATTTGTGCTGACATGGCTTGATTGGTAACGCAAGTTGTGCTACTGCTTTTATGTCCCACCTCCTCCTTCCTCATCTGCCACTCGCTCGTCGTGTCGGGGAGAGTCGAGAGCGATGGTAGCCCCTATGTGAAGGACATCAAGGCCGTCCGGTGCTGTTACACGGAAATGGCTGTTTACACGAGGGCTACGGTCACGGGATTAGGGCAGAAGGCCCTCACCGACTTCTTGTATTTAAAGACGTCTTTGACCTTCAAGGCCTTGAGGAAAACCAAGGGCCTTTGATACCAAAGACTGTTATTAGATGAATTGAGTAATTGCTCCAAGCTAGGCCCTTGTCACAGGTGCATTCATAACTGGTTAGTATCTGAGTAGCTGAGCAGCTATTCCTGGAAGAAATCTGAAATCGTTTGTGGCACTACACAAGTCCGTCATACTCGAGGGCCGACCGGCCTTTCTCTACGCTATGAGGCTTCCAAGATTCGGGCTTTGTCTGATCTGGAAAGGGCAACATTTGGCACTAGCTTTTAGCACCGTTTGGCATCAGATATCTTGTAGCTCTTGCCAGGCTTGTCTTTGAATACAATGCCACTCTAATTTCTCTGTACAAATTGCTATTATGTAATGAATATTGATACAATAAAAGAATATGATATCATGTATCTTTTAAATATATTATTCATCTTCTTCCTGAAGCGGTGCATATTCTCTTCATTGTAGTGTCCCGGAATTGCCCCATTAGTTGACAACTTCAACAAGTTCCGATTTACAGCTGCAAGTTGATTTTAGCCGCCTTGCTAGCATGTTTAACTTAGGCCATTGATTGTTACCATTTGCCCGAGTATTTCGCTACCATGCCAAGTTAAACTCCAGAGCAAAGGTAAAGCACTTGACTATGCTGACAAATGTTTCTAAACTATTCCAGGTAACAAGAAAGTTTATAAACACATGCATGCTGACAAATACCCGTCCGTGTTTATACGGGCGCCACTGACGCAAAATGTTCACCACCACCGAGAACCCAACTTCAATCAATTCCATAACAATAAAAAATACCAGATACTCGAAAAGATGAAGAGCCAAGTCTTCGTTCTCGGTCCCGGCTACGTCGGCCGCGAAATCATCGACCTCCTTCTGTCGGAAGGTCAATATGAAATCACAACCCTGGTGCGACGTGAAGCCGCCGTCGAGGAATTTGAGAAAGACGGTGCGGGGTAACCACGATACAAACGTCAGACATGAGTTCTCATTGAATTACAGGAGTCAAAGCGGTTCTCGGTGATTTGAATGACGCCAAAGTCATCCAGCAACTCAGCGCCAAAAGCGATGTAGTTTTTCACACAGCTACCGCCGACCATTTGGAATCTGCCCAGGCAATCTTGGCCGGAATTGAGGAGCGCGCCGGTCAAGGTATGTATACCACCGACCGAGTCCTGACATGGTACGCTACCGGTAGAACCAACGTTGACATGGTGTCATGTATAGGAAAGAAATCTATTTATCTCCATCAAAGCGGAGCTAGTGTTCTGAGCGATACATCACCTGGAAATAATGTCAACGATGAAATCTATTCCGACAAAACGCCGTCTCAAATTGATTCGTTGTCGGACACGGCACCTCATCGAAAAATTGATCTTGGTACGTGCATATCCCCGACAGGGCTTGATACCGTCACCTGCTAACCCATACGCCAGCTATTTTGAAAGCCCGACAGAAGCTGGGCAACAAGGCCAGAATGTTTATCTGGATGCCTCCCATCATTTACGGCAGCAATAGCAAACACAAGCGCCTTTCAATCCAGGTATGTCATGGAATTGAAGCCACTAGTCACCACCTAACTTGAAGATTTGTACCAGATTCCAGCCTTGACTCGATTTGCCTGCAAACATGGGCAAGCCGGCTACGTCGGCACTGGCAAAAAGGCCTGGGGTGTAGTACATGTCCGTGATCTGGCCAAGGTAGTATCCCCAAATGGAATGATTCTAAAAAGCCCGCGGTATCTAATTGAATTTTCTCAGGCCTACGTCCAAGTCCTTCACTGGATTGAGGGCGCTGCAGATTCCGACCCCGAGCTCCAAAATCCCTACTTCTTCTGCGAAAGCGGCGAAGTTACATGGGGCCAAGTCGGCGCTATTATTGGCAAAGGCCTCTACAAGGCGGGTCGAATTACCACGCCCGACACCCGCTCTATTCCGGAGTCTGAGTACGTCGACTTGTTTGGTCAATTCACGCCGGATGTGGTGGGATGCAGCTGCAGAAATAGGGCTGATAGGTTGCGGTCTATGGGGTGGAAGCCTGAGCAGTTGGGGATTGGAGAGGCATTTGAGAAGGAGGACCTCCCGGCCTTGTTGGCTGAGAAGGGAGAGTTCAAGGCCTCTGAAATGGCATTGTCTTGATGCTTCTCAAGGTACAATTGTCTGTATTGTAGGGTAGGGCGAAGAAGGCTCGAGCTGCCATTGTTATCACCAGAAACAAGTCTGGTACTTGTCCATTAATTCGCCTAGAAAATTAGGCGACAGAAAATGCGACTTTTTATATAAGCGACAAAAGAACGTATGGAATTCCAATGTATATTCCACCAGACATTCATCGGAATTTATAGTCGGTCGCTGCAAATTGGCTGCCGTTTTCGACCGCCTGCCCTCGCGGTTTTGGAGAAATCTACAAGACCACGTGCACGAGCCGACCTCTTTGTCGTGGATTTGATCCTAGGCGTCTATCTGACTTCGCCATCTCCCTTCACCGGCCAACAGAGTAATGACAAGTATTTAGATCTCGTGCGAGCCAATACCCGATTATCCACGTTTTAATCCGTCACAGTCCCACCAATAACTTATAAGGATATAATGCCCGCAGACGCCGCCCAAGAGCAAGGATGCATTGCCACAACGTTTGAAAGAAAGTACCATCATCTTGGAAGCGTCTTCATCAAGAGGAGTCTACGCCCCAGTGAGTTCCGCACTGGATATCGCGGACTACATGTGCCTCGCCTCAGGAAAGAACGTCTCTTGAACGAAGCCGAAGCCCTGCAGTTCGTTCGACAGCACACTGACATTCCGGTCCCGGCTGTGAATTGTCACTTTGAAGATGATGGGGCATACTACCTAATCACGGAATATGTTGAAGGCGTGAGCATGTCTGAACTCTCAGAGGAACACAAGGTTGTCGTACGGCAGGAGCTCGAGCTCCATCGAGCCAAACTGAAGACGTTAAAGTCCAGCCGTCTTGGTGGACCGTCGGGACTTGTGATTCCGCCATATCGAGTTTTACGTCGTGCCGAGACAGATTACTGGAATCTGCGGCCGACAAGCAACCAAGAATACATCTTTTGTCACAACGATTTATCGCAGCAAAACATCATCGTCAACCCGGACACGCTAAAAATCAGAGCAATTATTGATTGGGAATACGCCGGCTTCTTCCCAGCTCGCTTCGACTACCCGTTCTATCAAAGACTTGGTCCTTCGTCTGCTATTCATGGGGAAGTCGATGACTAGCTTGAATTGCTTCAATTTCTTCGTTCTCAGCAAAATGGCAGCAGCTAGGGCGGTGGAGGCAAGACACACTCTGGCACTCTAGGTGCCCATGTTGCAACATCTGCCTTGTCTTTCAATAAGCAAGACAAGGCATTTAGAGCATAGCCTTTTCCGTGGAACGACTTTCCACCCCAAGACCGTGTGACTCTACATCTTGCAGGCGGCGTATAAGTGAAGTCGGAGATGATGGATATGACTGCTCAATCGACAGACGATCCATATCCTGCCGCAGCTTTTCAAGAAACTTGGTTGCATGCCTTGGTTGAAGCCGAAGTAAAATATGGACGCCCCCGGGATCTCTTCGCCAAGTACCATCAGTCTGCTTCATAGGATTGGCATTCCAAACCTGGACAAATTTCTCCGTGGACTCCCAATCCACGTTGCCGGATTCAAGAGGAAATCCAAAGTGGGCCTCGTTGCCTCCAATCCTATGCCGCGTTAGAGTATATCAACTCGGAACAGTATCCGAGTTATAGCTGAGTTTTTGCTTACCCAACAAGCCAATTGATGATGATTGCGTCTTGAAACCCACTGTCTATGATCCTCTTGTTCTCGGCAAAAGCTCTACTCCAAAGGTAGTTTGTGAGCATGAGTGCTCGGCCGAGACGGTCCCTGTCCGCGAGACTACTGCGGCCCCTGAATAGCGTTTGAGCAAGTGTTCTAGGGAGCGCAGTTAGTCAAGTCCTGTCAATGTCTCGACAAGTTTGCCCAATTCTCATACCGGGGCGTTTGCTCATTTGGCGCAGTGGTAATTGGGGTTGACCACAGGACAAACACATTACCCTGAGTGGAACGGGGGAAATACAAGTTTTGACCATTATAGGTTGCGGAGCGGCCTCGAGCCTGTTTTCCTGGTTAGCTGGGATTGCAACAAGGTCGTTCAAGGCACAAGGGTGGTGTTGGTCGAACCGAAACAAATTGAAACAACGTCTCGACGGGCTTCTCAAAGGAGCCTTGAAGGGCTGCTATCAAGTAACCCGAAAACGCATCTCCCCGACCCACATGGCCATTGTTCACGGGGCTCTCTTGTTTGACTGATGCCCAAATCTTGTCAACGAAGCATCCTGCAACGTCAATGTCTAAGCGAACGGTCTGCTCTTTGATAAGCGTATTTCTGCGAGCGCAGAACTCTGGCTCAAATGCAAGAGAAAGGTATGATAGCCTTGACAGCTCTGATGTATATGAAGATGTGGACAGAATCTCTGGTGCCGGCAAGAAAAACTTGGAAAACGTCGGATCGCCAGGAGGGGGTTTGCCCTGGTATAATGCTGACCAAGTCATGAGGAAGTGCAGGGCAGCAAAAGCGTCTCCTAGAGAGTTATTCAGCATCTAAATGAGATGCAGTTACGGCGGTTGGTGCTCACCCAGGCCATGCCAAATACAGACAAAGAGAGCCGTCTGTCCTGTTTCTCTCCACGTGGTTACTTTGGCGAGAAATAAAGGAGTATCACGTTCGCTGAACATGGTTTCGCGGTCGATTTCCTCGTAGTAGTCTAGCAACAGAGTCAAGGAGGAATATTTTGATATCAAACTACAACCGCCTACCTGAATGCGTCTCCCCCATCCACTGGTCGGAGAAGGGCCCCGGGTTATCCGTCACACCCACCACGAGGCGTACGGGTCTGTTTGTCAGTCTGATTGACCAAGCATTGCCAGTTACTTCTCGCTTGAGGGTTCCACAATGCAGCGGGAAGAGCTGCAGTGTTTTTGCCAAGGAAACGCGGAGGCGATCGGTTTCTAAAGGACGAGGGATGGTGATGGAGTTGACTATCTTTACGTCTTGTGGTGTCAGTCCGTCCCACGCATTGGATTGAGGAAACATCGTACAAGCTCAGGATCCAGGTCGCTCCCAGGCAGGGGGATTGAAGTCCTGTCTGCCAGGTTTGTAGGCTGCTCTGGGGCAACGTGGAAAACTTTGAAAGAAGACATGATGCGAGTTGGGCAGGAACTCCAAAGTGGGCAAAACATGGGGCTCATTCCAAGGGCTATAAATACCCTGACGTTTGAATGAATGGCCTCAGCGTGTGCCACGTAACTTTACTGCTTTTGTTTTGCTTACTGCATTGTTTGGGGGCCGTCACCTTCAAACGTCATGGCCGTCACACAAAGGCTGCACGAGGCTGTAGTCGTCACCATCAAGTTTCAACTCATGAGATGGAGCCTGATAAGAGATTTGCCACTTACAAGAAGGGTTTGCCACTTACACTTCAAAAAGTGGACATCACTCCTAGTAATGCCAGCGCTTTATTTCGCTATATGTATCATCACAGAGCCTATCTCCTCAACTTGCCAACATAAACGCCGCATCCTCATCGCCGTTTGTCTCAGTCAGCTGTTACACACAGACTAATATCAACATTCGTTACACTAGACATGTCTACTAATATCTACCTCGGGATGTCTCACTCTTGGGATACAATCCGATGTTTTAGCCAATCATTGACCTTTTGATTAAAATGCTTCATCACCAAAATCGCCCGTTCCTGCTTCTATCCACTCCGCCGATTTCCGCCTTCCGGATATCGCGCCCAGCCGCCTCGAGATCTAGAATCACCATGCTGTAGTGATACTACCGCCCGTAGATGCGCACGACAATACGGCGCCATCATCCAGCAAGTAGGCTCGCTATGGTACAATACGGAGACGACATGTGTACTGGGTATCCCGTCGAAAGTGCATAATGGCGTCTCCCCCTTGACAGCCGCCACAGGACCAGTGCCTGGCTCCCTGGGCAACTATCCTGGAGGCCATGGTAAACAGATCACAATCGGGAGTATTATCCGACAACGGAAATATCATCCGGGGCCTATTCGACGTTGCACAAAGGCAAATGCCACGTCGGCCATTCGACCCAATTGGCTGGTCGCATGCCTCGGCAAGTTTATCAGCCATGTCGCCGCATGATAACCCCCGGTGGCCGAGAGCGTTGAGGGTTTCGAGTTCTGCTAAGCGTTGGTCTGACACTGCTGAGACCAGGCTAACAAGGCAGAGCGTCAGTATGGTCGGTGCAGTTGGTCTGGAGGCGTGAGAAGATAAAAGACGCATTGTCTCTTTCAGCTGTCTGGGTTGCTAACCCTTTGATATAGCGAGTATTGTGTAAGAATGGTATGTAAGCACGGGCTTATTTCTCAAGGACAAGGGGCCTAGAAGAAGTCTCTTGGAATGTCTTGTAGCAAAACAAAGCTGTAGAATAACAGGAATAATTAGAAGGCTTGTATTTCTAGGTATTTGAACTAGTTCTAACGGCTCCTATTTATCTCTTTGGCTGCTATTTCCATTTTGGGGCTTGTCGCATGGAGACCGAGGGGCCGGGTTAACCTTGACTCGGATAGAAGCGGATCAATAATACCTCAATGATCTGTAAATAAATAACTAGGTAGCAGATGTCTGTAATTCCGCAGAGTGGATTATACTGCCAAGACTTGTTGTATCGCTCGGCTAATATGCCAAGGAAAGTGGCAGCCAAGGAGAGTAGTCGTGCCATTTGTGCAGTCTGGTAGAAAATCGTTACTATTTGGGCGGCACTAAGCTATTTTAGTATCAGGCCGCTTGGCCATGCCACATAATCTTTTTGGGCTGCTATAATTGCTCGTCACGGTCGATGACGGAGGTACAAGGCCCTCGTGAGACTTTTCGTCTTGAACTACGCCCAGACGTCTGTGGCTTGATCCCTTCAATACGCCCGAGATGTCGTGTTTACTCTTGCATCATCAGTCTCCGCGAATGCATCGTGGACTCTCTGTCGAAGCCAATCTTACCTCGCACGGGAATCGGGGTTTAAACCACACCAATACCAACCTACCCTAGATCTTTCCTCGTATCAAGTTTTGGCACCAATTCGATATAGTATCTGGTTAATTCGGGCTTGAGCAATACTTGTCCGCAATTAATACCATGCGTACCATTCATTGTTGTAAAGACCAATTGTGACAAGGGCTTGGAGCGTAGTAACTCTTTACTCGATTCAAAGAGAATTCTGTTGGATATCAAAGGTCCTTGGTTTTGCAAAGGAAGGTAGGCCATTGTGACCACTATGTATTCACGAAAGGAAGAGCTGTGCCCAAGGTTTCCGCCAGGTCATATGGCCAATCTGTGCAACCCCGAGGTCCTTTCTCGGCGATGACCCCTTTGTTGGGCCTTGTTGGTGTTGGGTCTTAACCGTGTAACACCGACCGACTGTAAATGCCTTCACCATCGAAGGAGGTCCTCCACTTTGGTAGATTCGTAACGGTTGGCAACAAAGAACAGAAGCCACCAATGCGGAAAGAGGGGAGGAACTGACAGTTCAATGTTGTCAAAATGACGGCTCAACTCGGCTTGTCTCTTGGCAGAAGACGATTCGCCAACAAACTCCGATGTGCACATTGCGCCCCGAGCGGCACCAGGTTTCCACTCGCCGGCATCACGGCTTTGCGAAATCAACAAACCACGATAGACGAGTCCAACATGCCAACCGTGCTCATGTGGACCAAGAAAAGGTCAAGTTGATCCACACATCAGCGACAATTCCCACATTGACTGTGACCACAGGGTCACGCGGCGTGTGTTTGCTTTTTCCACCCGATTGGGTATCAAAAAAGCAACAACTAGATGGAAGCTCTATAAAATAAGTCTTGGCTTCTCTGTCGAGGGATTCAGTCAAGGCTCAATCCAGCCACCTGATCCGTCCAGTACAACATGTCCATCGATACCGGCGATACGAGCACCGAATCCAATGACAATATGGTTTCCCAAAATGCAGACACCGGCATTGGCAATGTTGCTTTATACAACCTGGGTAGGATTAGGAGAAGCCTGGATGCCCTCGCTAGCAAACCCAAATGGGACCCTAGCGACACCGCAGGCTTCGATTGCATGCACTATTTTGGCGACGGTGCCTTGGAAAAGGCATGCCAGAGGTTGGGCATGCAGCCTGGACAAACAGTCATCGATATTGGCTCCGGATTCAGCGCCACCGGCCGCTATTTCCACAAGACGTGCGGCGTTGATGTCACGGGCGTCGAGCTACAGGCCGAAATTCATGAACTCGCAGAGATCATCACCAAACGGAATGGACTGGCCGGAGGCGTACGCTCCGTGAATGCCGACTTTACAAAACTCACGGTAGATGCCCCCGTAGACTACATTGTCTCGTTCTTATGCATACTACACATTCCCGACAGGGAGGCGTTGTTCCAGAAAGTGGCCGGTAGCCTAAAGCCCGGTGGAAAAGTCTACATTGAGGACTTCTTTGCCCGAACGAAACTTGATCCCAACGCCAGCGACCAATTACGCGACATTGTGTCGTGCCCCTACCTGCCGAGCCGGGAGCAGTATATATCCCATCTGACCAATGCAGGGCTCCATGGCGTTCGATTTGAGGAAACGTCGGAAGATTGGGCCGAGTTTGTGCACGAACGAGCAGTGAGGAACAGACATGAAGGGACAAGCGAGGCGCCACTTACGTTATTCTACGATACGGTTGATGCATTGTTTGCTAGCGGCCAGTTGGGCGGCGTACGTCTTACCGCTGTCAAGGGATAAATTGGGAGGTATTGTGAAAGTTTAGTCCAACAGAAGACTTTACTTTTACTTTTGCTCTTACACTTATCTATTATAACCGCTTCGAAATCACTTCCTTTTTGTTATGAAACGTCATCACTTTATTCGAGTGTGTCTTTATATTGGTTATTCGCATTCGGTCATGCCCTTTCTCAAGTATATTGACTCAAAGGGGAACTTGGATCTGAGCTGCACACAAAATATTTAACTGACGACAGTACGGAACTGAAACACCGGGGGTAAGCTGATATTGACCCGGACGATACGGAACCAAGTCTAGTGGTCCTATCCCACTGTAGTTTTCATTTCGTGCTGCATATATGATATTGGTAGCTAACATTGAAGGCTCTCTGGTGCGGCTACAAGCTGAATTATTTCGCAACAACCGCTGCGCCCGAGTAACTACCAGGGCGTGCGCTTAGAAAATTGGGAGAGGGCACCGTGGGTGGGGGGAGGGGTGGTAGGACTTGCACGTGGGGTGTGGGCCGGAAATCGTGATGACAAAGACCGAGCCCCAATAAAACTTTGGCAGTCCCAATCGCAACACCCGTAATTAGTCATACATGCCTCCGAACCTCGGCGTGTCGCAAATGAAGTTATCCGCAACATCGAAATCTGCCTTCCCTTGGACGCGGGATTCATATCTCCCCGTCTTGACACCATCTATTGAGCACAAGCCATGCCAATTGCTGGCTACAAGTACTCATGATGGCCCGACTTGTGCGTTATCCTGCCCGTCGCAACCACATCGCACCCCGACCCCGACGAAATCTTGCTGACAAGAAGATGACTTTTGCAGAGAGCAATTGCTTTGAGGTCTCTGACCCCTGTAGCTCCGCAGTGTCGAGCGTCCATCTCCCGCTTGCGAAGCCCTTCGATTGCTACGCCCCAATTGCGTTTATATACTTCCACCGTTCCGCCAAGACAACAGGCCTTCCACTCGCAACTCGAGAGCAGCCCAGATGCTCACATTCTTCAGTCTTTCCAGAAAGCCGCGGCGCCGACAAATCCGCAGAACCTTACCGAAAAGATATTCCAGCGACACTCCATTGGGCTCGCTCCCGGAAAGACGGTCAAGGCCGGCGATTTCATCTCAATTGTAACCTCGGCGGCACCCTGTACGCTTGCACGACCATCACTAACCCATCAATAGAAACCTCACCGTTGTATGACGCACGATAACAGTTATCCGGTCGCAACAAAGGCCATGAATCTTGGCCTAACCAAGATCCACGATGGCTCCCAGATCGTGATGGGTACCGTCTGCCTCGACCACCCCCTTCTTATCACAATCACAGCAACTGACGACGCGAACAGCTCTTGACCACGACGTTCAGAATAAATCAGAGTCCAATAGACGCAAGTACGCGCTGATTGAGGAGTTTGCTCGTAAACATGGCACCTTTTTTTATCCTGCCGGCTTCGGAATCGGACACCAGGTCATGATCGACGAAGGTAAAACAAAAACAAATACATACCGTTTATGAGGTGTAAGGCGACTTGCTAACGGGACTGCAGGCCACGCCTGGCCAGGAACGCTTTGCGTCGCCAGCGATTCTCATTCGCCGATTTACGGTGGCATAGGATGTTTAGGAACTCCTGTCGTGCGCACCGATGCTGCGGCCATATGGGCGACGGGAAGCACTTGGCTACGTACGATGCTAACCCCTCGTAGAGGTTCAACGTGTGCTTTTACTGATCAGTTACTCAAGAACACCCACCTGTCGCCAAAGTTACCTTTACAGGCCTGCTCCCCTTTGGAGTCACAGGGAAGGACGTGATTTTAAGCCTCTGCTCCCTGTTCGGTTCCGATGACGTCTTGAACCACTGTGTGGAATTCGCCGGATCCGAACAGACCATGGCGAGCATTCCCATCGACGACCGTTTATGCATCTCTAACATGTGTACGGAATGGGGTGCACTAAGTAATTCTCCCCTCCCCATGGAAATGGGTGATAAACTGACTCTTATCTGTACAGGCGGACTGTTCCCCGTTGATGAGACGCTCATTTCCTGGTATCGCGCCAAAGCCACCGCTGCAGCTGTGTGCGACAGCCCTGCCAAGGAGCGCTTTAACCACGAGCGAGTCAAGGACATGGCAGAGAACCGGCTCGTCGCTGACCCAGGGGCTTCGTATGCTAAAGAGTTCTATATCAATCTATCCACGCTTTCACCATGGGTCAGTGGACCTAACTCGCCCAAAATCGCCAACCCTCTGAAAAACCTTGAGGCTCAGAACATCAAGATCGACAAGGCTTATCTGGTTTCTTGTACTAATTCTAGAGCAAGCGATATAGCCGCTGCCGCCCGTGTTTTCCGCGAGGCTGCCAAGGATGGCCAGCCTGCTAAAATTGCTAGTGGTGTTCGCTTCTATCTTGCTGCGGCCTCCCTCTCCGAGCAGCAGATTGCGGAGGAAGCCGGTGATTGGAAGGTCCTGCTCGATGCCGGTGCTACACAGCTTCCAGCTTCATGTGGCCCGTGTATTGGGTTGGGCACCGGCCTGCTTGAGGAGGGCGAAACGGGCATCTCAGCGTCGAACCGTAACTACCCCGGACGAATGGGATCCAAAGATAGCAAGGCATATCTTGCTAGTCCTGAAGTTGTTGCTGCCAGTGCTCTCAAGGGCAGAATTGCCGGCCCTGGTTGGTATCAACAGCCAGACGGTGTTGAAAAGGTCATTATCGGAGAGGGAAGCGGCGATTTTGCTGCCGACCAAGCTCGCTCTATTGAGAGTGCCTTTGATAAAATGATTAATGAAGTGGATAGCATGATTGCTATTGCTGAGAATGGCCAAGATGAGACAACTACAACTGCCGCTAAAGATGAAGCCTTGACTGATATTCTTCCGGGCTTCCCTGAGAAAATCGAGGGCGAAATTGTTTTTCTGTAAGCATGGCCCAAATTGTTACTGCTTCCTTTGTATACGCTAATCGAGGATAGGGACAATGATAATATCAACACGGATGGTATCTACCCAGGTATGTGAAGCACGGATAAGGTCTTTCTGATTGCCAGAATGCAATCATGGCACTAATCGCATGACTAGGCAAATACACGTATCAGGATAACCTTCCCAAAGAAAAGATGGCTGCGGTGTGCATGGAGAACTATGACACCGAGTTTACCAAACTCACCAAGCCGGGTGATGTGCTGGTGACCGGTTTCAACTTTGGGTGTGGTAAGTGGCTTCTTTTTTCCCCTTATATCATTATTATTCCGTTCAACAGAATGATGGCTGATGCCTCCCCTCAGGAAGTTCTCGTGAGCAAGCCGCCACCGCCATTCTGGCACGAGACATTCCCCTCGTCATCGCAGGAAGTCTCGGAAACATCTTTAGCCGCAACAGCATCAACAATGCTTTGGTCTGTCTCGAAATGCCCCGCCTGGTTGAGCACCTACGCAAGTCATTCAAGGACGACGCGGAGCGACCTCTGACTCGCCGTACGGGCTGGAAGCTTTTGTGGGATGTCCGCCGCTCCAAGGCTGTGATTACGGAGAAGGATGGCACAGTCTGGGAGGAAAAGGTGAGCGAACTGCCTCCCAGCGTACAAGAGATTATCAGCTTCAAGGGTCTGGAGAACTGGGTCAAGTCCAAGATTCAGGCGTAATAGGACCATTCCGGCTCCGCTCCCACGCTGAGACAGTGCTTGGAGCACAATGTCATCTTTTGATGGAATAGGATGGCTCTGCTCGTGGGTTCGGAGATGGCTAGCCGCAGTCACGTGTGTGACTTGACGCAGCGAGAGAGCGCTGTTATGCGAATAACTGCTCTTCTCACTCCTTTTCCTCCCCTCGACTCGTGGAGTAGGTCCTTTTGGCGTGACCTACTTTAGGTGTATACTCACTAGGTTATATGCGGAACAAAGATGAAGAGGATCTTTCGATTTATTGGAGATACTTGCCCTTGACTAGTAGGGAGCCATTTTCTGTCAAAAATAGATAAAAAGTATGTTGTTTGCTCCGATCAATCAGGTAGAAGAAAATATCCTATACAACGCAGGTAGTGAATAGAAAAAAGAAGTTTCCGTTGGATTCGAGATGAGTGGCTTTGTGAAAGGTCATCTGCCCCAAGGAGGCTTGCGCTCCAAATCGACTCATGCATAGAGTCAATAGAAAGCTTCCACCGCCTATTATCAACGTCATCTCAAAACAATGTAGCTCGCCCATTCTTCATGGCTGTGCTCACATCAGCCTCGTCCGGCGCTGGCCTGCCTTTATCCACGGCCATTGCACTGGGCCGTCTTGAAACCACAAAGGCAGAGCCTTGTTGCCATTGATGCGCAGGATTCAAATAGTGGCAATAAATGCAGCGAAACTCGTGACGAAAGAGAGTGACATTGCTTCATGTCGGAAGTCGGGCGACATCTCAACATTTCGGCAACACCAACATGATACCTTTGACTGACCCTTTAACGCTGCGAGTTGCTACTCTTGACAATAAATTTACATTCTCTCAACTGCTATATTTAAAATGGCCCGATATCTGGGTGAGAGGAACCCCGTAATGTGTATTATGACTTGCTATGTCTTGTATATTTATATCTTGGTCCACATGCCACGTAAAGCTACATAATTTAGGGACGTAATTTACCTTTATATCAAGGGCTCAGTTATAAGGGCTTAGAACAAAATCGTATATGGCTCATAATTCGTTCCAGTAATCAAGGTCGCTGGTTTTTCTAAAGGCCTCAGAGGGCGGATAACCCTTACTTATATCAAGCCCAAGGCATCAACTAGGTCTCGAGCCCGTGTGTAACCATCGTCATGTTCAAGTGACCCTTAGTCAGAGCCTTTGCAGTTACATGGTGGTCCTTTGGAATATCCTCAATTTTCAACTAGACTAAAGGCCTTGATTTCATCAATACCTGGCTTGAATCAAGGACCTTCCGCATTCAATGCGATCGCTAGCTTTGGAAATCGTGATACAAGGAGAACTGTGGGGCAGCCGGGGAAGTTCGGCTTCTTCCAGATTGATACAATTACTCACATGAAACCACCCTGCAATAGCTGAGCCAAGAGTGGCGTGGACTGCATGGATCGGGATTACGGAAGACTTCCTAGCATTCTGTTACATGGCCCAGATGTTATCGAGCTTGGCAGGAACTGTGGAGAAGAACTGCTAGAGTCTCCCTGTCTCAACGATCCATACGAGGGTGGCTGTTGTCAACAGGCAACTCTTACAAAGGTAACGCGATTGGATCTAGCGCCTGTCATAGGTCTATACAAAGACTTGACAGAGCCCGTGTCACGGGCAGAGAGTTACGAGAAGTTCGGTCCAAACATGAAATGGGGTTGGCAAGCAGCTTGATGGCCTTGGATGATCAAGTTGAACGAGTTCGCACTGCGAGACAAGCAACATTGAACGAATGTCCCCAGTCCAAGCGCACTATATCAACTACAGCGCATCAAGTACGTCCGGTCGTTTGTGAACCGTGGATCGAAGAAGCAGGTTGAAGCCGCCGGGCGCCAAACTTGTCCTCTAATGGTTCCTCAATATGGGATTTAAATTGAACTAGACTCTTCGCAACGAGTTCACGCAAGCTATGCCAAGCAGACCAAGAACTCTACATGTATTCCTGCCCCACACGTTCACCCTCTAAAGTCTACAGACGAGCGGGACGGGGTTAGTTGAGACAATCCTTAATTTCGGTCTCCAGTTTACATAATCTATTACATCTGAAATTTCCGCATCGTCGCCCTACATGTATCGTTGACCCGCCGGGCTCAGGTGCAGAATCCAGTCTTTCTTCAATGCTAGCTGCAAGCATGCATAACCGCCAAGTACAATTTAAACGGGAGCAAGATTATGCTCTATACAGTATCGTACTTGGCATATTTCCCTGGGGTAGTTCTGGAGCCCCTAGCAAGTCGGACTCTAGCCGATAGTGGTAATTGCAAAGCCGGACCAGCCCGGAGATTACTGCTTTCGTAACTTGCAATAGTAAAACGGACGTCTAGCTACAAGTCCAGCGGCAACAGCAACAACCCCTGACATTACCGAACCAGTTGACGGGTAAATTCATGCCTTATTTGTTGAGAGAAGATGATTACATGGAAGGGCTTTCTGCTAGGAGAAAGGCTGCCTGCCCAAGATATAAATATAAGGGTTTTCCCTCCAACTTGTAGTCTTTTTGCACATATCACAATTGTGTATATTTCTTCTCTGTTTCTTTCGCTCTTTTTTCTACTTTTTTAAACGACTCGGTCCTAGACGACTGGCTGGTCTTTCGCCATGTATTTTCCTACTTTCCTTATGGCCATTCTCATGGCAAGTGCTATCAATGCAAGCGCCATACAGCAACGACAAGAAGAAGAAGTACCGCAGTGCGATGAAGCGCCTCCAAGTGAGGAATTCGTGGAATATTCCAAGACTCTTCAACATAATACTTCGTCTCTTGAAACCCGTCAAGCGCAGAAACGCTACAACTTTCGAGTTTATGCACACGTTGTATACTCTGAAAAGAACAGCAAAGGCGGCTATGTATCTGTAAGTGTTGACTGCTCCAATTCACCCACTATTATCCTAAGCCGTCTGTAGGAAGAGAATGTGAAGAAGGACATTGATCTTTTAAACAAACGCTACAGCCGGGCTGGAATCTCCTTCACCTACGCCGAGACGGACTACCTTCAAAACAGTGCCTGGGCCCATTCCAACGATCCTGCAATGAAGAAGAGATTGCGCCGGGGCGGATACGCAGACCTGAACCTCTACTACGTCGCCAAAATCCCAGGCAAGCTGATTTCAGGAGGCCCCATCGGTGGGCATTGCACTTACCCCATTGTTCCCAGGGGTAATAGCTTGACTGTACCGCAAGCGACCATGGAGCGTGACGGGTGCGTCATGATCGCCACGTCTGTCCCGGGCGGCAGTTCGTGGTCTGGCCTAAGCCCGCTCACCACACACGAGGTCGGCCACTGGCTGGGCTTGCGACACACTTTCGAAGGCAACTGCAAAGATGGAGATACCATTGACGATACCTTTCCCCAGGAGAAGCCGACGGGCAAATGTGAAAACCAGCCCAAGCTCCCAGACGGCCGGCCCGGTGCTTACGCTTGTGGCGGGTTGCATCCGAGCAACATGTTGAACTTTATGGATTACTCGTAAGTTGCGTCTGTTTTGCGGCAGGCGAGTTTGAATACAGTGCTGATGACCTTTCAAGGTCCTGCAGGTCAGAATTTACATTGGGCCAGGAGCAGCGCATGAGGCAATGGGCTGATAGTCGTCAAAAGCTTGGAGGATCCTCAACTGACCAAAAGCCTCCTGAAAACCCGAAGCCGAAGCCGAAGCCAAACCCGCCTACTCCTAAGCCTCCCAGTAACTCGGGTGAATCCAAAGTCTGGGGCCAATGCGGCGGCAGAGACTGGAAAGGCCCAACTGCTTGTTCCAAGGGCCTTGTCTGCAAGCACTTCGGGGTGTGGTATTCTCAATGTGTGCCTGCGGCTTAAGCTCTACTGGTGTGGCAGAAGCATAATGAAGAAAGAAAATGGGGGAGTAAAAAACTATGATTTTCGTTCTTGTCCTTCACTCAATTTGTATTTATATACTTTTACATATTTACTTGAATTATGTACTGCTTCAATGCCACCTACCTCACGGTCCCGTCACATGTTATCGTGCTGTTGTTCAATCAAGTCGCGGGTTACATTGCTATAACATGGAATTTGGCTGGGCAATTTATTGTACTTTTAAAGTGCATTTTTTGTGTTTTGGAAGCGCAAGTCCTTTGTCGGTGAAGCCTCTTTGTTGGGCTTACCATCTGTTGGGCCTTTTCCCTGTAAGAAGAGGTCGCAATAACCTTAAAACTTAATAAGAGAGATCGTAGTAATATCTTGGCGTGGCGAGTAGACAAGTAATCCCTACGGCATTATCACGGATACCTTGTTCATCTATTTAAATTCGTCACTCAAACGATGGAATGATTCTGAGATGGTGGGTGAGCGCCGCACCTGAACCAGCACAAATTTCATCACACAAGAGCGTCAGGCATCACTATTTTGTATCGCCTGGCCTGCAACAACAGATATTTTCAGTTCCTTGTCTCAGAATCGGACACTTGACGGCCAAGGCACCTACACATATCACTTCTTATTGGCTGGTCGTTCCAATGAGCCGGCCCAGGGCAACAAAGGCCGAGATTGCCGCGTCTTTCAGAGTCTGCGCCCAGGCCAACATGCCTCCCACACCTAGTTTCATGGTCTAACAAAGAAACATGAGCTCAAAGGGGCCCAGCTGGGTATGCCTATTATCCCTTCGTTTTCCTCATATTTGAGAAGTCGTGCCTCGCCCACCATTTCGTCGTGTCGTGACACATATCGCATTCGACCATGGCAGGCAGGCTCCGGCACATTCCGGCACCCTTGACCCGGCTAAAGGCAAGAATATGCCAGAGTTTGGTAAACGGCTCCGGGTTTCCGTCCCCAAAGGCTGGGAAGGAATCCACCGCGCCATCCACGGGCCCTACCCCTGGGGCAGACCCTCCACTTCTTGTTGGGCAAACGTCCTGCGGAAAGGAACAAGGTGGAAACGATACAGCTGATGACGCGATGTCTAGGCAAGAAGATCAACCCGGGGTGATTTGTGACATCTCTACCAAGGAAGAAGGTCAGAATCATGTTGCGGTGGCGACTGGAGACCGCACCGAGACTCGCACAAGTCTGTCCAACAAATGTTCTCACGACCAATCATCACATGAATCTGATGAACATGTGAATGAAATAAATCATCAGCAAAAATTTTGGACCGACTCGCCATCCGACCATCTCTTCGAACTGAGCGAGGGGCTTTGGAATGAAGCCTATCATAGCCTCAAAATTGATGAGCCCCAACTAGTCTCTCTCTACGAGGAGATTATGCACCAGTGCTGGACGCCGAATTCCCCGAAGAGTTCGATTGCGAGCCGTCCACATAGCGAAGAGGCCGTTGATAACATATTAGAAGACAACAGTAAGCCACTCTGGGCAGAGCAGGCAAAATTCCTGGAGGTTTGGATGGCCGAAAAAGACGACCCAGGAAGACAATGTGATAAACTCTTCAACGCTAAGCAGATGATTATCTTATTTAAAGATATTGTTCGGCCATCGGCCTTGAGCATGACCGGGGCTGCTGTACCGTGGGTTGCTGCATGCCTTGCCGCAAAGGTGATTAAAACTTCAAAGTCGTTTCATTTAGAAACGAACAATTACAGTTAACTAGAATATAGAGCCTATTTCGTCATGGTGTATTATCTGGCCCAGTTGCTCTTGGCTTCATTGAACTCCTCTCGAAAATCAATGGCCTCCGGAGGCTGTCACTTCTTTTACCAGGCGAGACGACAAACACCTCGAATACAACGAAAAGTGGACAGAATCGTGCAAGGGATGCATTAGTATCTCTTTATGCGGCATTGCTGTTGTACATTGTCCGTATTGCATGTTCGACTACGGACAGGAGCATGATTGTCGAACCTGGAGCGATCGACCAGCTTTCCGATCGCACCCGACAAATGGAGGGTGCATTCACTGCTAGTTTCGACAACAAGATTGGGAATGAGCTTCGCGATTTGTTTTCTGAGGCCGAACATGCCAAACATGCCGAACATCCATCAACTCCATTTGGCGGGGGTGAGAATGACAATGACAAACTACCTTCCAACCTTGTCCTGAGCTTCGAGGATGCAGAAGAGATGCTGCAAAAGGCATGCCACGATGAGAAACTACCAGAACACTTGCTCAAATGGATTCTCTCGACGCAAGAGTATTGCAAGTTCTACAGAACGGAGAACACAGATGAAAACCGGGTTCTTTGTGTTTCGGGGTCACCAGGTGCTGGCAAGTCAATGGTCCTTCTGAGGATTGCCCAACATTTGACGCGGCTCCAGGATCCTAGCAGCAATGATGAGAAAGTTGCATGTTTTTTCGGAAACAAATCTAGTTTTGTCCTAGAAACCCCAGCAGCAATTGTGCACAGTCTCATCCGACAGATAATTCGACATCGACCACCTCTATTCCACCACCTTAAAAAAGTGTACAAGTTAACTGGGAGGCAAGTCCTCGACCGGACAACAGACGCATTCGCAGTCTTCGGGGTTCTGTTCAGAATTCTCGAAGACCCAGACTGTCCAGAATTTTGTTTCATTGTCGACGCGATTGACGAGTGCTGCTCTGACGAAGATGATGTCGAAGGGCTAGACAATCTCCTCAGGTTGATTTGCGCGACCATACGGCGATGTCCCAAAGTCCGATGGGTAATCTCTATGAATCCTGCCATTGAGAAGCGCGTGTCTTTGGGCGAGTCAATTGTCCTTGACCTCGATTCCAAAAACATGGCTGCGATTTTTAAACAGAGTGTTGGCTCCAAAGTCGCAGCTATGGTCGGTGACATTCGCCTGCCCGACGACAAAAAAGCACTTCTCCAGGACCATCTCGCTGAGAAGTCGCAAGGGAATTCGTTGTGGGTGAACACGGCTTGTAAAATCATGCAACACCACCCATTTTTGTGGGATATCATGGATGTGCTTGAGGAACTACCAAATGATCTGGAAGGATTGTACAACTATTCCATGGCGACAATTAGAAAACTTCCTCCTGGGACTTTCGAATTTTGTAGGCAAATCCTTCAAATCGGGGCCGCGGCATACCGGCCTCTATATCTCTGGGAACTGCACGCCTTGGCAGAACTGCCCGCTGTTGTGGATGTCAAGTTCATCATTGCCAAAGGGTGTTTTGCATTCCTGGAATTACGTGATGATATAGTACGGTTTGTCCACTCCTCGGCCAGGAATTATGCCCGGAAGACTCTGATTCAGGGGTCAAAGGCGCGCGGAGAATTTGTACTGCGGTGCCTCCAATTTCTCCCGAACCATTTCAGAACGGCTGTAGCCGCAGAGTCTCAAACGGAGCAGGAGGAATACATCCACCTTCTGTGCCATTACGCTGAATGGTATTGGATGAGGCATCTGTCTGCATTGATCAGTCGAGATGCCAACGAGGTGCCGTGGGAAGAGCTTGCTGCCTTTCTCCAACAGCACCTCCTAGCATGGATAGATAGACTGGTACTGGCTCAAGGTCTGGCCGTGGTCATGGCTCAGATAAATAATCTTGTACTTGTCCACAAGGTAAGCATCATTCGATTTCGTTGTGGCTCATTTCTTCTCGCAAGGCTGCGAGGACTTCTGCCGCACGCCGAAATCATAAGCTTGAATATTCCTTTCTAATTCTCGAAACCACAGAAATTCCTGGACCAAGATGCTGCCACCCAAAGTCCACGCGTCGAGTTTTGTCTTTTACTTCTCCAACGTGCAACACTTTTCCTCCGATTTCATCAATCCACAAACAGTCCCCCCGGAGTATCTGCTAGCAACAGCCTCATCTTTTATCTCGACCAGCTTTATTCCATCGAGGAAATGCTCGGCGGCAAGGCACCGTGGCTAGCTTCTCCGCCGATAGGTCGAGTTATGAGGCCCGTCCCCTACCTGGCCCTGGAAGGTCACCGGGACTGGGTCTGGGCATGCACCTATTCTGGAGATGGACGATATGTAGCCACCTGCTCCGACGACAAAACAGTTCGCATCTGGGACAGCCATACTGGTGAATTCCAAGTCCTCCTCGACAGATTCGATAAATGGGTAAACCGGCTAACATTTTCCCCCAGCGGCCTGCTGGCAACATCAGACGACTCAGCCATTAAGATCTGGGATTACAGGCTATCTGTTTTAGAGAAGACTTTGGACGGAAATAATATGTTCCCTGGGGACGGATTCGAAATCAGCCATGTTACATTTTCCCCCAAAGGCGACCAACTGGCAGCAGCCATATGGACGACTGTTTTCATCTGGGACACTCAGACGTATGAAGCAAAGAAATGGGAGCGCCAGACATGTATAAGGCGGTTGAAATTCTCCGCAGATGGGCGCCTACTCGCAATAGCCTCATCAAATGACATTACTATCGTTCTAGTGGAAGACGGCAGAAGTGAATGGTCGAGGCCTCTGGAAAACAACAAAGAGAAGATCAATGGAATCTGTTTCTCTCCAGACTCCAAGTCCATGGCATCCTGCTCCACCGACGGCATTGTCAAAGTATGGGATATTACGTCCGGTGCCCCTCCGCACACTATTCGCTTTGGGTTGGTATCGTCGTACACCTCTCTTGATTTTTCGGCTCACGGCTTGCGTTTTGCTGCTGCTGAGAAGTCCTAGGACACCATTGCGATCGAGGCCTGGAACATCCAAGGAACGGAGTACGATATACAACAGAAAATCTTGTCTTGCCAATCTAGACCAGTCTTGTCGCTGTCTTATTCACCCACAGAACAGTTCCTGGCGTCGTCTTCCACAGCCACAGGTGAAGTTGCTCGCATTTGGGACCTGGAGAATGCGTCGTTACCTATCCTCAATGTCTCCGAGAGAGCCGGTGATGTGGTCCCACATGCCAAGCATAAGGAGAGTGTTTGCTTCGTGACAATTTCCGTGAGTGGTCAACTCATAGCTTCTGCTTCCTCAGATGGGCAAATACACATTTGGAATGGGTGTACTGGCAGGCACAAGAAACCCTTGGACCTAAGTGAAGAACACAAGTCTATCATGTGGCTTGCTTTTTCAGCGGATGACTCAATGCTAGTTGCAACTTCCATGGAAGGGGGTATTCTGGTTTGGCATCTAGAAGCCTCGACGCAACCACGTTGGTGTCATGCCCATGAAGACTGGGTCCGGTCTGCCGTGTTCTCGCCTGACAGCAAGCTCCTGGCATCAGTAGCAGATGACGGCAATGTCAAGGTGTGGAAGCTTGGCCCAGAATCCCAAAGAAGTCTTGAAGAACAACAACCCAAAATACTTAAAGGTCACGCTTCGATGGTTATTTGCGCTGCCTTCTCAGCTGACGGAAAACTCCTCGCGTCCGGCGGCGGTGACTGCGTTCGAATCTGGGACTTGACATCAGTGACTCACCAGAATGGTCAAGGCGCCACAGAGCTGTCTCAATTTGAAGAGCATGAAGAAACAGTGACTGCCGTCGCCTTTTTTCCAGATGGAGAGTTCCTTGTGTCGTCCTCGCGTAGCGACGTAGTAAGAATATGGAAAAGGAGGACTGGTCAAACGCTGCATAAAATATACTGCTGCGAGGTCCAGGCATTAAGAATGACTGTGGATGTATCGAAATATATTCACACCAATATAGGTGTTTTCGAGGTTGGCGGCATTCCCGGAAAGAGTCTACGCCACCCAGACCCGCGTTGGTATAACCGCAGATCCAGGGAGGGGGACCTCTTTTCGTTGCCATCCTGGTCATCATGGGGCTTAAGCTCCTCGCAGGACTGGATCCAGTGGAAAGGTGAAAATCGCATCTTTATTCCCAGAGAATACCGTACCACTGAAGGGAATAGTATATGGATCCAGGGTTGTACAGCAGTAATCGGGTGTACTTCTGGTGAGGTTCTAATACTGAAGCTAGCGAAGGATGGATATTTGTAATTGCTTCGTCCTAGAATGAGATATTTGAGCTGTATGTGGATAAATTCTCTTTATATCTCGGCGGAGGACTAGTAATTCCATTGCTGGAATCTTCCCCCCACCAGCCTTGGTGAAATAGCTTCTCCTCGACACACTCAGCAGGAGTTCTTAGTTTGTCTTGAGCAGCTTGGACCTCCTTGTTCTCTGAGGGCCGTGAGTCGCAATCTCTTACATGCTTTGAGCAAGACTGCTCCCACAGCCCGTTGGGACCACGCGGGCAAACCATGTCTAGCCCGCTTTCCGACTAATGTTTGTTTTGCTCGGCTTTATTAAGATGGTTATGATAAGTTATCAATAAAGCTTGTTTTATTTGTTGAAAAAAGTGTAATCCTTTAACAGACAAGAAGCAAAGAAGGCTGCATTACTGCAAGCCATGCGCGAAGGGGCAAGTTCGGTGTCTTCCAATGCCCGCTGCCATCTTGAGAAGAAGCATCATATGACCATTGTAGCACCACACTATCAGGAGTGATGCGTTATAGTGTGCTCGTAAACAGGAGAAAAGCAGCATGGCCGAGATCGGCAGACACAAAGTTGAACCAAAGGGTCCTGGCAGGGGTCAAACACGAAACTGGAAAATCATGCATATCCGGTCAGACAACTTCGGTAGCACACTTCATCCTTGCATCGATTAACGACGCCATGCATGCCTGAGCGGTAAAACCGGAGGGGGACAGCGGCCGCGAGCTCACCATGTTGTCCCAATTGCTTTTGCTTTAGCAAGTGTGATGGAGGCAAGTGTAACTTGACCCTTGCGGCATACACGAAAGCTCGTCCAGAAGCCAGGCCAGCATATCTGACGTTTTCAATCAAATTACCCCGACACTATTCAGCTTCAGGTGTACCTTGCGAATAGTTGAGCAGCAACTATTATCGTTGCAGGGGATGGCACCAACTTTTGCTGGCCAGCGCTGTCTGCAAGAAGAAGTGCATAAAGGCATAAAACTCCCTCGCAAGATGACGTTTCTTTAAATGGGATCAACGGGCAACGCAATGGCAGGAGTATTGACTTTACCCAAACGCCCGCCCCTACACCCCGGTAGGGCGACATTGCATCAGACCAGACTCTCTCCACATGCATGCATTCAATGGTCGGATTCAGATGCAATTCAACAAGAATGACATCGGTTGTCATTTGCCGGCTGATGCGTCCGCGTTGCTATCGGGCTTGTCCACTGAGCCCTGCAGCAGAAAGATACGGAATAACGGCCCTTGACCGAACATCCCTGAATCCAGTTTATAAATGTGCGCTTTGGCTCTCTCTCTGTGACCTCTGTGATGATGTAATGTAGCCCCATGCTAGAATTCCCCGAAAAGACATCCACACGGACGCAGTTTGCTCATCCAATACTCATTCCGTTTCTTGGAAGTATATGCCAAACAACCCTACCGTACCGTTCTGGAAAACATCAAGCACAAGGCTACTTCACAGCCTCCAGCTATCCCTATTAGCATAAAGCAGCGAAGCGCAATTACTTCAATACCCAGTCATCATGGGCGTTGATCTGGACTACCTTACCCCACGGGGCCTCTTGGTGAACAAGAATTTTGTTTGCCAGGGGCCTTCATTTAGCAGCCTTTTTCTAGCTATCAACAAGATGCTTGACGTGCCGCACAGCAAAGAGACGATGGCCCAGGAGTTCAATTTTTCCAACGACGCATTTGACGTGGTAAATATATTCAAAGTTTTTGGTTCAAAGAGAATTCCATCTAATGGGGAGTAGCTTTTAGATGTACTTGAAGACTGCCTGAAGTACATGGCAGAGGTACACCTTTTTGTATCCGTATTCTCCGGATTAATTACAACTGGCTTACTCTTACTTGCAGATTCATTCCAACGCAGGAAAGCTCAAGGTATCTGGAAGATCTATTATCTGTTCGTGAACCGGAAGTAGTGCTGATATTTCTAAATCTAGACAGCATATCGCGATGTCGGTGATGTCTGCGATAGAATCCTTGTCCTTTCGGCCTCAGCCCCAGAAGATTACAGTTCGTACCACTACCCAAAATCATTCTCAAAGTTTTAAAAATCCCGCATTACGTTGTGTTTTTGCTTAGCTAACATTATTCTCGCTCAAACTTAGATAAACTATTTGATGATCTGGCACGGCTGTACAAAGATGAATCGGACAATGAGGCACTGCGCAAGTCTGTCAAAGAACAAATTGATGCACGCTTAGCTGGCATCAACAATGTGTCTACCAAGGCTACAGCTACAAGAGCAGTCTTGGCCACTTCCACAGATGCCGTTACATTAGCACAGGACCAGCTGAAGCAAGTTGGCGCGCAGCTAAACACCGAAGCCATCTATCGTCGACTCCTCGAAGCCTTTATGCCTGACATGGTAAAAATCGCCATGAATAACTTTGCAATCAACATGATGAGAGTATGTTATCACCGCCAGTCCCTGATTCGAGACACTGCCCATCTCGAGAATTGCGATTGCCTAACAAAGAGGACCATGTAGGCATGGATCGGGCAAATACAATTGACTGACGGGACTGCTGCCTCGTTGGTCGAGCTGCAGAAAGCTGTCGGTAAGCTGGCTTGGTCGACAAACTAGCAAAAGGCGCCAATTTAACGACTTGTTTAGGTGCCATTGCGGAGATTGATATGGATCTTATTTCATTGCGCAAGTATGTTGAGGAAAACACTACACCCGGGCCATCTCCTATTTTGGATTTACAGAAGGGAAACATACTTGAGAAGTGGGAAGACTTGGATAAGGAAGGTGAGTGCAGGCGTCATTGCTTTCAGACGAAGTTCGGTTTGGAGAGTGACTGACTTTGTTGCGTTGCCCCATTTGCAGTGAGAAAGTTCAAATCAAACTTTATTGATACTGTGAGAGCTTGAAAGAAAGGCCAATGGATGATGTTTACTTTGATGGAGGAATTCTTGGTTAATGGACAATCGGGATTCCTGAGTACTTTTTTCTCGATCGCGCATTTGACTAGGAGCTGTGTCATATAGCACGATCATCTGGATAATTTAAGCAAATTGAGAGATTCTCTAATTTCTTATATGACAAGGTACAACTGTACGAGCAATAAATCGCGTTGTGATCCTGCTTACAAATTACTACCGTCTTGAATGAGCGATTTGATCTTGACAAACTAAGTCGCTGTCTGGTGGAAAACATATCATTCAAACCGCTTGGCAAGATATAGAAAATACGAAAAACGTTGCTTTGTACCATATTCATTTAGAAATAAACGTGCATGGGCAACTTCATCTGCACTTCAACACACTCCCATCAAAGCAGATACTAGATGACGCTGTACTCTGAATACATTACTTCTTCGCTGAGTCCTTCACCCCAGCCCTGCGACGCTTCGCATCAAAGCGAACATTCCCGGTAAACTGCAAATCAACCCCCTTGAAGCCATCCAAACGAATGTCCTCTGGGTTCAACAGCTCAATCTTCCACTGAGTAAACGGAGTGGGCTCGGCATGGTCCTTCGTTTCAAAGGCGGGATAGACGCGAGTTTTGCCTCTGTTCCCATTTTCGTCCAGCTCGTATGAGCACCTCCGAGATTGAGGCAGACTTGCAAAACGGAACACCTTGTCTTTTTCAATGTCTGCGTAGATTCCGGAAGTGGTGATGCGCAAGTTGACCACCACCACGCCGCCCTTGAGAGCGCTTGGATTGGGGAGCACTCCGAGCAGGGTAGGATTCAGCCCGTCCAGACGGTAGTGGGAGCCTTCGTCGAAATCACTTGCGAGCCCCTTTTCCGGAGCAAGTGTAAAGCTACCAATGTGGCTCTTCCCCTTGATGCCGTCTTTCATGGATTGCCCATATCCAGCAGGGAGCTGTTCCTCGTCAGTGCTTTGCAATATGAACGTGGGCAGATACGTAAACTTACATCCTCAGAGTCGATGTTATAGTCGAAAGCTAGACAACATACTGCTTAGCTCATACTCAGTATACGATGGTCTTGGTTGCTACCTACGTTGAAAGTCGCTGGAATATCGTGAATCGGCATTTACCATCTCTTGTATGATCGTGGAGAGGTCTTGCTGGTATTCATCGAGAACCTTCCGGGAGTCAAGAGTAATAGAACTTTCAGCAAGGGCCCAGTAACGATAGGCCCATGCCATGTTCCGCAGGGATATCACAACAGTGGTTCTGAGAGCCATGGCGCGATCATAGAGCATGGACTCGGCAAGAGCATAGATGGCCTCTTGTTCCTCGTACTCGTCCAGCAGCTTTTGCAGGTTGGAAATTTGTTGCTGAGACACAATGACTTCCATCTGAGCCTGGACATACTCGTAGCCAGCCTTCACGCTCTCAGCATGGGCCTGAGCCAGCTGCTTCCCATTGATGGCATGCTTCCGCAGCGCGAGTCTATAGTCGCTGGCAGAGTCGACACCCTCGCTCACAGCGAATTCCATCTGCTCGTCTGACTCGAGAATCCATTTATCCCACGCAGCCATTGTAACAATGGCCGCGGCATTCGCATCACCCTGGCTAGTGCCAGTGATGGTTTCCAGAGATGGAATCTCAACGGACGGATCGAGCTCGAACTGGCCAACTGCATCCACCACGGACTCTATGATGGGATACAATGCCAACAGTGCCTCGACACACTCGGCCAACTTCTGAAAGGTGTCGGATCTCAAGACTTTGCCGATTTGACCAACGATGCCCTCTGCTACCTTTACTGCCTCGACGGCCTTGCCTACAGCGTCTGCGGCGCCACCACCGCCTCCAGGGTTGCCCATGCAAAGCGTTGCAATATTCAAGGCAAAGGCTGCAATTAGAAGTTAGTCTAAAATCACAGAGATTTAGCTGTTGTGGAAAGTAGGCATGGGCTTACAAGCGGCTGCCATGAGGATTTGAAGCACGGCCTTCAACTCCTGCTCATCTTTCCACTTCTGGAGCCCATTCTCGAAACGAATCCTGAGGATCTCCAACGCAAAGTCGTCCTCTTTAAACTGCGCTTCACAGCTCAAGGCGGTCTGACGAGCTGATTTGTACTTATCCAGCGCCAGGTTGCGAAGATTGACGCGCATGGAATTCTCATTTCTAGCCTGTGCGAGCATGGTATTCCAAGCCTGCTTGTGGACTTCCAACGATTCCTGCTTATCCTGAAACCGCTCAAACTGGGTCTCGAAAGCAGTGGCAGCATTAAGCGCCTGCTGCGTAGACTCTTTATATCTATCCAGGACTAAAACAGGGGCATAGCTCATGTCAGGTCCTGCCATGGCTTGTCCGGCGAGTTGCTGGCCTACTGCCACCGCCTGCGTGTTGAGCAGACTAAAGTACTCTTGCTTAGTCGTCATTGTCGCTACGTACGAGCTCAACGAGACAGCAATGGATATGTTCTTCCAGAACTGGACAAGAGCAATACGCAGTTGCGTGTTCAGGCTTGCCTTTAGGTCATCGCTTGAGGTGGACGGGTACTGCTTCTCGTACTCATGCTCCAGCTTGCCATTGGAGAAGCCGATAGAAACACCAATATACTCGGACTCGGGGCCCAGATCAAGTTTCAAAGTGTCGGAACCAGTGGTTACAGTGACAGGCTGGTCTAGAATAGCGGCATAGATGGATATTGCACCCGAAGCGTCGGGCGGTATCACTATGGTGGCCGGCGCGTCTGCTGTCAGAACCCTTGCCGTGATTTGTATGGTGCCGTTTTTATAAGGTGAAATAACAGTCTCATGCTTCGTCAGAGCAAAAACGTCGGTGAAAATATTCAGCCTGAGCATAGAGGGCAAAAGTGCCGTGGATGCGTCAAAGTAAACTCCTCGGAGCATCGCGGTTTTCTTGTGATCCCATGTCAGAACAGAATATGAAACTTGTCAAAATAAGTTCTACTTGCCGCATTTTCGTTCACATTCTCTGCTTCTCGTAGAGGAATACTAGTCACATCCTTTGACGAAGCATAGGCTTTCCATTCCGCCGGGGTGCTGGGCTGGGGCTTCGGGTTGGACATGGTGGCAGGCTCGTGAGTCTTGGATGTCGCTGTTGCTGTATGCTTTGTCCCCTTTCTTTGTCTCTGTTTTCACCAAATACCAGAAAGCCTGCAACTTTAAAACTGGTTCTTGTACAGAAATAAATGCCAAGTTCATTGACACACCGGGCCAAAGGCAATACGCAACCACTTCATATTAGCCTTCAACGGCCTCTTTCGGTCTACCATCTGATCGAGCATGTGATGGCGCAAGACACGGTATTGCCGATAGATCTGTATTGAAGTCCGATAGCGGCTCGTCTTGCAGTATCGGCTGTCCAAGTTGATTCATCATTTTACCCCCTCATTTTCAGTATTCACTACAACACGGGCTGTGAGCTGCATCGTGACTCGTCATTTTCACCAAGTCATAGTCGTACGAAGTAACAAGACCCTTGTGGTGAACATTTCCCCTCTTCTATTACTCACAAAAACGGGCACGTACATATTTCAGCTCCGGATTTATGTACGTGGCGTCCGAAGGGGTGCTCTTGTTCCATTACCAAACATGGCCACCTGTACGTGGTGGTGCCATGAAACATGTACGATATCTCCAAAAAGCAGCCGATGTGGGAAAAAGCAACATTTTTGTGCGCAGAAGTCACCAGACGCGGGAGGAATGCTATGCTACCCCATCTGCATTCTCAGCTCATGCACGCCCACCGACACAAATGGGGACACAAAAGATTACTGCATTGATATAATTATGCATTCTCTCATGCATGCCTCGAGGAAACAGGTAGGTTACAATTTGTCGATAAAGCATGCAGGTGTGTTACTGCCACCTCCAGTATGTCTGAGGGCGAGGCCGAGGTTTCGACAGCCTGTACGAGGCGTCAGTGTCATCGGCACCTCCGTCAGACAGCCAACACTTTGGTATACTGGCATATATATATAGACAGAGAAAAAAGGGCTTGAGCCTACAATAGAACTCTCATTGTAATAGATACTGAGGTAATCTTTGCTACCTGTCCGTGTGTTTAGTCACTTATCAGCATCATATTCACTCTCCAGATTACGGCTTTTCCTGAAAATGACTGGCTTTGACCCCAGGCAACCAATTACGGATCCATCCGTATTTTCCCCTAGGGGAATGTACGTGGACAACCGCAGTGGCAATAAGGGGACTCAAGACGACGATGATGACGACGTCAAAGCCTTCGTTTTCGATGCTTCCGATATGAAAGCGCTGAACCGATTCCTGGGCACGGGAAGAAAACTACAAACCACTCGCTCAGAGTATCTCAGGTGGTTAGGAATCTCGGACACGCCGGGTGAAATCAGTGCAGCCCTCGGAAAAGAACTGGAATCCCTTCTCAAAACGTATACTTCGGTGTGTATTCTATTCTCATCCTGTTGCCTACGCCGTCCGACCTGTGTTTTTAAATTCATCGCAAAGACGGCACTTGAGACTAACAAAAAAAACAGATCAAAAGCGACTGTACGCAGTTCAAGGATGTAACATGGAACAGAATTGTCGATATTGCCGGGGACATCAAGTCCTACGCCACCATGTCAGGCGGAAAAGAAAGCACCTCGTACTACGTGCTCATGCTCAAGTTCATTGGGGACTACCACGAAGAAAACAAGAAACCCAACCCGGACAAGGCGAAACTCGCAGAATTGAAGGAAAGTATCCAGTTCACCGTCGACGCTGAGCTTAAAAAGCTGGGCGAACTGCAGGCTGGTGCGCAGGAAGCTCTTACAGGCCTTGGAGCTTTTGAAAGAGTGTGCGAGCAACATGGCCTCGCTGTAGAAACGAATGCAAACTCTCTTGAAGCACAGTTGAAGAAAGAGGGCAACGACATTGAGACTATGAAGAAGAAAATCGAGGAGGCACGCGCAGAAATTGATGACTTGCAGGGCCAAATTGATGGAAGTAAGATATAAAAACACCACCTAATCTCTTCTAGACCACATTGCTAACCGGAAATTGCGCCGTTGAAGAGAACCAAGCAATCAATGATGCTCCAAAGTACATGTGGGTGTAAGTAGACAAACTAGCTCAACGTACGATGAAAAGAGCCGATTCGCTAACCCAGCATCACAAGCTGGCCAATCGGCACTGCTATCGGCACCGGTATTGTCGTGGAAGCCAAAAAGGCCATCAAGAGATTGAAAGAGGCCATGGAAAAGGTGAAGAAGGTTCTGGACGACTACGAGTCCAAGATGAAGACTGCATCTCGTCTGGAGACAAATCTCAAGTTCATAAGTGTGAGTATCGCACTTGCCAATCGCCTGCTTACTTCCGGGTCTAATACATTGCAGAAACAAGTCAAGGACCTCGGTACAGAGATTGGACCTGCCATCAAGACCTTGCAAAAGCTCCAGGGAGCTTGGAAGAGCATGGAGACGGATCTCTCAGCCATCAAGGACTTGATCGAGTTTGATACGGACAACATTCCGCCCATGTTGATCACTAGGCCGCAGTTGCAGGGCATTGTTGACGAATGGAACGAGCTGAAGGATTACGGTACGTCAAGGGCCAAAAAGATGAGAGCGTGCCTTGATGAGATGTGACGCTAATGACTATGTGTTTCCCAGCGAGCAACTATATTGAGAATGCGTATATTAGCGACGAACCAAAGGCTGTGAGTATTGCAGAGTATATTTCTGAACTGGAGGATGCAATCATGAGAATTGAGGCGATGGAGAAGGGTCAGTAACGGAATGACGGTGTGTATGGGAGAGCGTTCACTTTCATTCACCAGGCTGCTACTGAGCTTAGTAGATGTGGCTTTGTCTTACGAGAGCCTGAGATTCTTCATTATTTACTCATTGCCTATTCAGTTTCCTTTGACATTGACGTGATTTCTAGCTTTTCGCCTGGCGAATGCAGAATGAAATGGGATGACCCCCTTCTTACTACCGCGGAATAGAATGGATAGCTCCCCTTAGCGATGCCATATATAGGCCTGTGGCGTGCCATGTTGAGTTTCCCGGCGAAATCTCTTCAAGAAATCTACTGAAAGAGCCTGACTGTGCTATAATAAACACCTTTCAGATACACTCTGACATACTTGCCAACAAAATATCTTATTCCCATTCTGTCATGAGTGTGTTGGTTTCGATTTCCTTATCAAAGTTAACCAGGTGAGTTGAATGACACCACGGCTTAAGGGTCTCCTCCATGCGGATAGCATTCGAGAAAAATGTGCACCATTTCAATCGAGGGTAAGCTTTATTAATCTCAGCGACGGTCGATCGATGAATCAAAGTCTTGAAGCCCGCGACATGCGGATGAAAGCCCGTGTTATCAAATGTTGTGGCAAGCTGAATAAGCTGGCCCATGTACGTAATCTCTCCATCAACCCCCATATCCTCATGTCGGATGATGGCTTCCGCAGCAGCTTCGGCCTGATCGGTGGTGGCTCCGAAATCCTTTAGCGCCTGTAGAGCTTTGATGCCACCGTAGATATCGAAAGACATCCGCGTAGCAGTCAAGAATTCCTCGGCGGTTCCGAGGTCGTGCAACAGACAGGTCAGAGCCCAGGTCACGGGGTCAAGCTGAGACGCCAGTTGTGGAAAATGCTGTTTCGTTATAGCCATGCCTTGGAGACGCGTTAGTATACGACGATTGTGCTCGCCTAGATCTACCGATTGCATACCGTAGAAATACACTCTCATAGAGTGGTTGAAGGTTTCTGGGTGGAGAACCTTTTTGGCATATTCCATGGTCTTTTCGACAACGACGTCACCAAATGGGAATGTCAGGTCGTCCATGGACAGAGCCGCTATTTCGACACATACGAGGCGGTTACCGAATATAAGCCCGGCATTTGCGGGCGTCTTGGTCCAGCCATTGGCCGCAATCTCGTTCTGACACATGGTGAAGGTTATAGTAGTTCTGGCAGATAAAAAGATAGTTCAGAGCGTTTGAATCTACAGTGAGAAAAAACGAGAGAATATCGAAGCGGGTTACGGTACCCTTTTATAGACGAGGTCAACGCTCCTGGGTGTGTGTGACACGAACAGCGAATGGAGCCAGACATGGAACTTGACTGTTTACCGAACTAGGAAGTAATTTTACGTGGGGCACCGGCGACATTGAACTCGACTCGGCTTATGGATTATGCCACGTGGGTGAACTAGCAGACGTCTCAAAGTAGTAGTACTGTTTGTAGTAAAGTCTAAGCCAGTAGTAAATTTACTTAGTACCACAGGAAACTGCGGCATTCGGCGATCCCTCGGTCATGTTCACCACAGCGATTAATAAGACTAGCATGGGCCCGAATAAGAGTGTTTCACCGGTCATCGGGTTTCACTCTCGAGACATGAAGCAAAAATACATTACAATGACGGCCCCTGGCCGAATATTCCGGCTATCCTGCTGCTGTGTGCCCTTTTGGCTCTTGGACAGACAGCCGACTAAGAAAGTAGATGGACTGGATGTAATTGTAAGAAGTCATGAATGAAAGGTACTATCAGTGAAATATTATAGCTAGTTTTTTTGACTGGCAGGAATAATTCAGATGCTAGAAGAACAACATGAAGAATAAATTCGGGAGGAAATTGTACTTAATCATACATCCGTCAATAGTCCGAAGCGACCACTACATTACGAAGTCGTCATTATTTTCTGCGTCCAACATGCGATCTCATTAGTGCTCCTTAGAAAACCTTTCTAACCTAATACTAAATCGCAACGAAATTTGATATATGGTGGAATGATTCACTGTAAAGTGTGTGTTGTCTTCAGGTAGTATTAGCTACGAACATCTAATTCTCTTCGTGGTTGGATTTTCGAATAGTAAAGAGATGTGATGTGCTGTACACTGGAATGCGAAAAGGTAAAGAATCTTGACATAACTCATGGCCCAATAGGTAAAAACCGGCTAAAGAGGAAATACATCCAAAAACGCCGGCCACTCTCATGAGGCTCGTGCTCGTGCTCACATTGCCATCTGCTCTGGCAAAGCACGATGCGCAGTTAAAAATATAGGATAACTCTAGTGCGCCGTAAATAACAATATTTGGAACATTTCTGTGTCAAAATTAGCAGTGCTCTGTCCGTTTAGTTCAGACTGTGCCGTACGTTGGCCAAGAGGCGACAAAAAAGAGTAGATTGAGTATGCACCAGACTATATCAGGTTTACCGCGTTAGTTGATATTCCAGTCTTTTGTATATGATGGCTTACCTAGTTGGTAAATGCCAAAAGCATTATAATACTCGGATGTCTGGCCCTGATATGATTCGAGAATACCCATTGAAGGCATTACCAGCACTCCGTATCCACCGTAGTACAGACCTATTCAACGACATATAATTAGTATTTATAACACTTTAGAATTCAAGAGGGGGTTCGTTACCAAAAGCAGACAAGACTGTGTATCCAAACGTGTTGCCTCTTGCCATTTCCCACTGCGCGGAGATTAAAAGCCCAATTCCCGCAAGAAAACAGAGGTTTCCTATAAAGACAGATTGGTTTGACACCCCGCGGAAGCCCGCAGCAGACAATGATAGGGCGAGTAAGGTGGTTGCGAACGCGCCAAAGCCCAATGCATTCTGGAGCAAATGCACATTAGTAGTCTGTCACCAGCTTGCGTAGAAGAGTGACTCATACAGGATTTGCAAGGCGCCTGTATCCCGTAGCGGATGGACCAGACGCCTTGATATTGGTTTCTTCCGATGTTTTCATTACGGACAGTTGTGGGTTCACTCTCCGTTGAACAGGCGGCATTGTGCTTATATACTCCACGAGAGGGCCAGAAAAGCGTGGATAGCAAACAAGGTCTGAGCCGCCATGACATGGTGATCATCCTCAAATCCACTCCCAATCTTTTCCTATGCGGGTATAGCCTGCTGGTGGCCGCGTTATTTGAGTGTCCGTGAAGGCTTGGATTCAGCAGTGCATGAAAAGGATTCCCTGGCAGACTATAAACCAGACCACTAATGGGCTACCCATCGAGTGGACTACCCCATAAATGGCACGTCCAAGAAGTCTCATATTCTGCGAGTTCCATCCGATGCGGATTGAACATATATGCAGGGGTCTAGCGATGACATATAGACAAGTCTGGCCATCGTGAACCGACTTGGCCCGACACTTGTTGCAGTCGGTCTGGCTTGTCTTTCTACTTTCCGCTCATATTTTCGCCAGTAATATGATGTCAAGTCGGTCAACCAGTTGACTAACTAACTAACTTCCATGGTATTTGAAGTTTTAATGTTGGTAAGCAGTCAATAACTAATAATGCGTCTAGAGAGTTTCTGGCCAATAATCAGCCAGGCCCCACTCCCAATATTTACCTATACAGGTATAGCTTGCCAAGACCATTGTGGAGGTAACCCTAGCCTGATTCTGTTGGAATGCAACATCCAATGTTCACTCTCGCCCAGGTCTCGTCACATCGCACATCGCAGGTAACCCCGTACAAGTCTTGTTCCGAAACGTCCGATGGATTCACCTAAGAGTATTGCCTTCATTGCGACGGAGTCGCCGAGGTAATTCCATTCGTCCCAGATCTCATTGGATATCCACCTCATCACCACGGTCTGCAAAACAGTTCAGTGACGTCTTCCTTTCATACGCAGCATTTTGTCGGCAAGCGACGTTTCACCAAATTAAGCACACCATGGATACGTCTTGCTATACGTGTCGCCGTCGGCGCGTGGCATGTCAAATGGCTCAGCCACCATGCAGGAAATGCACCCAAGCTGGGCTACAGTGTACGAAAACAAGACCATTTCGATGGGTCCAAGATGCTGCGTTTAGGACAACAGCGAGAAGGGATACTCCTGCAAAGAAAATGCCGACACATGATGTGGTGGCTGTCGGCAATCATCAGAAGTCTCGGCTGGCGGCCAGGGGGGTTATGGGTATGGTCCTCCATGTTGAAGTTGAACAGGCTTCCTACATTTGCAAGGACTGCATCTCTAACAGCTACATACAAATGCCACAGAATATCAGCTTCAACACTGGCCCATAGCTCGTTTAGATGAGCCATCGTTAACACGCTTCAACAGTACCACCCGGTACTATATAGACTACTGTAAGTACATACTTTCCAACGTCTTGCCTGAACAACGAGCAACCCAGTTTTTAATGTATATTACCCTAGATAGTCGGTGCGTTTGCAAGCTCTTTGTTATGTATGACAGCGTCGAGAATCCTTTGCGAAAGGTGACCGGAGCCGCCCTTCATAACCCACTTTTGCTCTCTTCAATCATTGCTCTTTCGGCACGTCATTTAGCAAATGCAAGGCTGCCTGTTCTTCAACCTGGGGAGGCATCACCTTCCAGGACTTGGTGTAGCACCGACCATACGGCTCTCTTGTTCAAGCACAAGACCTTGAAGGGCCTTTCGGATGCTGTGCAGGATCCAAAGTTGCGCATGATGGATACTACAGTTGCCAGCGCCCTACTGCTACTGTTTCTAAATCTTCTGGAATCCGGACGTGATGACTGGAATACGCACTTGGAGGGCATGAAAAGCATCATGTCCCAGCTCGAGGTCCCCCTAGAGCGAAAAGGGACATCATCTCAAGGCCTCGGCCTTTGCGTAACGGGTCTACGGGATTTCGTCGTCAGGCAAATTTATGTGTGCGTACCCCAAGCGTGCTGATATCCAGAATACTTCTATTGCTAACACCAGCTTTAGCATCGAAGTCCTCGGCGCAACGTACACGGACCCGAAGATGCTGCTGAGCCCGTCTACGAGTCCTCCCACAGCGACCAAATTGCTCCAAGAAAAGCTAGAGCATTCGTATCTGGGATGTCCTGGGTATATATTACACGCTCTCGGGGTGTTTTCTTCATGTCGGGACTTTCTCGTTTCGCCAGGACGGAAGAGTGAAAGGGACCTTGAAGCAAACATTGAACGTGCATGTTCAATGCTTACCTGTACGGAAAAGTTTGACAGCCGTGCCTGGGCGGCCGCGTTGCCACAAATGTCTTCCGCTCCAATGCATGTAGACGAACTCGCTATATTATCCGAGGTTTACAAGATCGGAGCCCAGATATTTGGCAGGCGCGTTATCGACGCACTTGTTGGCGACACAACGGTTCAGAATAAGGACCACCTCGTGCATCGGCTTGTTGGTCTTATACGTGAATTAAGACGCAATGACAACTTGTTCAAATGCATCCTCTGGCCAATGGTTATTGCAAGTCTAGAGTGTTGCCAAATAGAGCAGAAAGAGTTTCTGACAGGTTGTCTTCAGAGGTTCTGGCTGGAAACAAGATGTTTAAATGTAATGAATGCCGAAGCAATACTTCGTAAACGGTGGCAGCAGGAAGAGCGGGAAGGGTCAGCGCCGTCACAATGGATATTCAAGATTGGTCGACTTGGGGGTGATTGGCTCCTGATATAGAGTATTCATGATTTACGAGCGCAACATGTGAATTCTTGTACATATTCTGCGACTAATATAAATTAAATACGGCGCCATGTCTTACAATACGGCAGTAGTGTCACAAGTTGGGCTACGACAATGCTTTCATATCTTTTTGTAACTCATCGGACAAGAGGTTAGCGTAAATGTCTACTGGGGTTTACAGGAGGGGTTGTACGGAATCTAATTCTTATCAACAGAGGTCTGAGCATCACAGTCTACGAGGTCCAAATCATGCCTTTACGGATTCAAACAGCATCACAGGTTCCTCCCCTACCTAATTCCACATACGACTCATATATTGCGCAGTCAAGCCACCCGGCCATGTTACAAAAGTGACTAAATACAATCAGGGTGCAGATAACCTAGGCAACAAGTACACTAAAGGTTACCTTGCCGGTTATGCATGGCACTTTATGACGTGAGCTACACCCTCTAACCACGATGTCCTCTTAAGCAAGCTTTGCAGCAGACCGCCGGTTTCTCCCCAGATATACTGTCCTGATATACATGATCATGAGTGTGTAATTCTTGCATTCGTGCCGGTAATACCGAACAGGGCCAAACAGGCCAGCCACTTACTTCCAAACTCACGTCTGGTGCTTCGCGCCACGGCCTCTCAACAACGCTTAGAAGAACGAAGTGGGTAAAAGTACTCATCTTTCCTAGCATTTTATCAAATTACATGGAGACTGACTACACCTTAATGGCGAGGAACCCCTTGTCGGGGAAGGACCCCCGCCCCGAGACGCAATTAATTAATACTAGACTTAGTAATCCTAGATTTCCCTATTATTATAGGCCTTAGAACTCGAAATTCTCATAAAATAGAAAGTCTTTATAAGAAATAAATAGCTATTATATATCTATTTACTTGAGGATATATAACCCTATTACGTAATAAAGTATATATGCTCTGATTAAAAGAGCTATTATAATAAAAGTTCTAGAGGTTCTCGCATATCAGCAGGGCACCTTGATATTATATTATAGTAGTATCTGTAATATTAAACTATAAAAGCCTTGGTTTTATTATAAAAGTAAATATTAGCGCTTGGCTCCCCGCATCACTAGGCGCAGTATATTACGTGGCCTATTTAACCTACAACAACTAACATCGCCGTTGTATGCGATAAAGGTTAGATCCACAACTCACGCCATTTAGGTGCGACTATATTTTATCTCATAGAACATGTAGGGGTCCGTGGAGAATTTGTTCCAGGGCTTATTATTGTTACACTGAAATGGCTGGTTACACAAGGGCTACGGTCACGAGACCTAGGGCAAAGTCCCTCACCGACTTCTTGTATTTAAAGAGGTCTTCGGTCAATAAGGCCTCCATGTTTTTAGTTAATTATGTAATTACCCGAAGCATATTAGGCTAAAGCATCTTAATAATTAAGCAATTTGTACAACCACACAAAGCAATATTGTGGTAATGGGGTTTGGAGACTGACGTGTAGAGCAGGCTAGGGTGTGTGTGTGTGTATGTGTGTGTGTGTGTATTTAACGCCTTTGCTAAGGAATCCCTTACTTTTTTAGAGTATTAGGCGTATTACACTATATTATTTAAATATATATAGTATATTATTATATACTTTTAATAAAAAAAGGGCTATTAGCTTTTTATTTATTTTATTTTTATTTATAGGTTTTAAGATTTATAAGGTAATACTTATTATTTTATTATTATATTATTAACTATTATAAGGGTTTATTCTTAGTTTACTTTTAATTTTAGGTATAAATTATAAAGAAGAAGGTTTTATTAGATAAGACTCTAGTAGTTACCTCCCCTATCTTAGATAAATTTTTGTGAAGTAAGCGGTGTCCTTAATTAGGGATGTGTACCTCTAGAAGTCTGAAGCTAAGGCCGCTTTTATTGCCGAAGAGCAGGCTAGGGTGAAGGTCACGAGGGAACTCAACATTGAATTTGATGGTCATTCCAGGGAGAGAGAAATTCAGTTAAACGTCGGACCCACTGAGACCTCTGTAATGGCGGTAAAATCGGTCAAGTTACATGGAGTCCTTGTTACTGTCTGAAGCCTCATGAGGCAACCACTGAGGGGCGGCATATCTCTTTTTTAAGGTCAAGGTGAATGTAGTAAGAAGTAACTTTTCCCGACCATGACCCCTAGGTTATGCTAGATGTCACCGAAACTTCAGATCCCAACAGACACTGAATGGTGCTGATGACGTAGTCAAAAGACACCGGACTAAGCATAAATGTAAAATACAAGTCGTTTTGTTTCCACCTTCCTATGTTTATACAACCTGCCGATTCACACAACACAAGCTGAGAATTCCGTCCCCACGTACCGAAAATTCATTGTAATGATTCATCTAGACTTGTCCTCGGAGCTACTTTTGGTCTAGCGTGCATTGTGATGGGTCCCATGCAGCTATTCCCCGAATTATTTGCTCGTGGATCCGCTCCGAATCGTCTCACTCTCTAGCCGACGATAAGAACACTTATCGAAGAGCGGAGCACATTTCTTTCCCCTTCTCCCATCAACCATCTTGTACATTACGAATGGAACGCTAAAATGGGTTCTGTAAAGCGCCCTCTTGATTGGGCACCAGTAGGCAAAATCGTCTCCTCCAATCAGGATCCCAAAGCCGAGTTCTCCAACGATGCAACTGCGACAACCACACTTCCAACTACAACACCCGATAAAAACGAGGCGACCGAAAAAGTGTCTGCCAATGTTTCAGTCATCATCTTTCCAGGAGCGTGGCACCCCGCCTCCTGCATGAGCAGTTTCGTCTCAAGCCTGCGCTCCATCGGACTCCCCGCTGAGGCCTACACCCTTCGGAGTGTTGGGGACGCATCGGCAGGAGTTGCGGACGATGTGGACTATATGCGATCCATCATGAACCCTCTGATTGATGCCGGCAACGACGTGGTTGTTGTTTCTCACTCGTATGCTGGGTTCCCTACAACTTCAGCCATCTCCGGCATGGACAAGCGTGGCCGTGAGGCCCGCGGCGAGAAGGGCGGCGTCTTGGGCGTCATATACCTTGCCTCGTTTGTTCCGCAAGACGACGACACTCTGTATGGCGTGCTGGGTAACCAATGGCCCCCTTGGATCAAGGAAGATGTAGGTGTCTGCTGTTCTTCCACGCTGCCAAGCATTTGTGTCATCTGGACCTGACTCCAGTTACAGGAAACCGAGCAATTCATTATTTGCTCCAACGAGGGCCACATCTTTTACAATGATTGCACGAGCGAGCAAGTAGAAGCTGTAACCAAGTCCCTGAGGCCGCATTCTCTCAAGGCGAGTAAAGGCAAGGATGCTATCCCTAAGAATATCGGCTGGCGCGAGTCGGGGTACGATGGCCGCCGTGGGTACATCCGCTTGACTGAGGACAACGCTATTCCACTGTCGTATCAGGACTACTTGATTAGCCGGTCTGGAGTGAACTGGTCTGCCAGGACACTGAATGCGTCTCATAGTCCATTTTTGTCCATGCCTCATGCTACGGCCGAGCTTGTGCACGAGCTAGTGCAGGAGTTCCTCGCTGCTTGATCGTCGCTTATAATCGAAAAATGTAGCGAGAAAATTCTGTTACTGTAATATTGCTGTCTGCAGGTATCCCGTCGACCAGCGATGGTAACCTCGATGTAATAGTCATTATGGGTAGCTCGCTAATAGGTTTTTTTCATCCCACTGGGGAGCTAGCTAGCTAGACTCGACAGTAACCTAGTATGGGTTATACTAGGTTATCCCTATAAGAGATTTACATGGTAGCGGTACCGATTATATAGCATCATAGTGCTGTCTAGTTAGACAAAGAGGTCAGAATAGTTACTAGAGTATTGAGAAGCTTCTCCTTCTAATACATGTCAAAACATGCCAGTAGTGACGAAAATATGAAATACAGCTTATTCAAGATCAATCCACTCAAGATAGCCAATGCCGGTTACATCCTCGTTGCGCCACTTGCCGGTAAATTGGTACGAAGCAACGTATCCTTGCCCATGACCATAACGTAGCGGAGAGTCAACACTGGCAACGAACCTAATAATCTCTTGTTCCTCGTCACGTACAGTCCATTGCATCCGCTCTGGGGCTCGCATCAAGCGGCCTCGAGGATCCGTGACGTGTTGTTTGCGGTAGGACAGAACCTCAAACGCGACGTCTTGGTAGACGAGAGCCTCGCCGTCGAGATTGCGAACATATGCCAACTTGCACAACGTCATGCCATCCGCACGCACGTCGGTTAGCAGCAGCTGAGTGCGTTTGTCCAGGTGAAGAATTTGGTAGGTGAAGAAGTGCACCGGTATCTTGAGATGGGGAGGGATGGGATGCCGACTAAGTGCCTGGGGATTCATGCTGCGGGCATACTCAACAGTACACATTCCGGCAATCTCAGTAGTGCCACGATCATCCATAATAGCACCAGTATACGTGGCAAGCAGACTTAGGTGATCGTAAACAGGGCTTCGGACAAACCAGGAAACTTGCTTGGTAGCCGAGATTTGTAGTTTGACTTGCATATGGCGATACCGGCCGGCCACCGTAAACTTGGGGTAGTTGGAAGTGATGACGAGATCGTTTCCCCAAGCAAGGCGGGAACCATCAGCGGCAAACTCGCAGGTACTCGCTGCGTCATAGGCCTCGTAGTGGTGTGTGTCGCCATATGCAGTTGATGACAGAACAGTGGCCGTATTTCGTGCGTCGGGGGCAGAGAGGTAGTCGTTGTCGAAACACAAGACACCTGGCGCGCCGATGAACGTCATGGTATTTAGATAGCGATACGGCTCGGGAAGGTCGGTAATAAACACGCCATAGTGTGTCCAACCCCACCACTTGGAGTTGTCATGTGGCAGTATGATGTCGGGCACAGTGAAGGGTTGACTTGATTCTTCGATCCGCGAATCTAGGAGCGGTGCGGCGTAGGCACACAAGAGTTTCGTGATGCCGCGTACTAGCACATTCGTATGTGGTGTTGACGCCATGTGTAATGCCAGGCTGTCTGCAGCTACGAGGGAGACTTGGCAGTAGTGTAATACGGGAATAAAATTGCATTGGTGTGAAGATTTACGATAGCCCTGCTATGTCGTAGAAAGAGCCAACGTTGAATATTGGCAATATAAGTAATAGCTAACAGCTGACATGGGTGGCTAGTTTGAGGGCAGTTCACGTTCCACAATGAGCGTTGCCGAGGTTCTCCGGGATAATCTGGATCCTACTTGACCGGAGATAACTCGCATTTAATAACAGCTTCAGGGATCGACATGAACATTGCGTTGGGTGGAACGCAGCGGGCCGGGATAATTGGGCCATTCCGCGCAGCCTAGATTACGTGCTGTAGATGATTTATTTACTATAGACTACCTAGGCATTGCCTCGAGGCTCCTACATTGCTTGATGTTTTGAGAGCTACATAGTATCTCCCGTTGCAAGTAACATTAAAACCAGCTGGGACAATTCGCAAGGCGAATTAGTAGCTGTCTGCTCTGCTACCAACATTGAGTAGCCAAAGGATGTTGCTCCGGATCTCCGGTCGCACACGGCGTTCTAGCTATATGACGACATGTCATATCCAAGTTGGCGTCCTAATTCGGCTAGTCTACCGACCACAGGGTCAAGCAAACCTAACCGCCGCAATGACCAGCTTTATACGGGAAAATGGCTTTTTCTCTTGTGCTAGTAAGTTGCAGTTCAACATAGACGCATAATATGGTGGAGCCCACGACTTATACAGCCAGGAAGCCTCATCTTTTACAGGTCAGAAGAAGCAGGTATAAGTAAGCAGCTCATTCTCATGGTAGCAATAAACAAGGGCGAAGGTTCCCCGTCTAGCATCTTTTGAAGAATGCCATGATTGCTGATTATAATGCAACATGTGTCCATAGCTGAAGTGTGAGGAGCGCGCCTCGGAGAAGACACCACAATAAGTCAGTAAACGCATTCTAAACTAAACGATGAGTTGATGCAATATTTGAAATGCTAAAGAATGACGATCTTGAGAAGACATTACGAACAAGAACTGTGCCGTTCGAGCATACAAGACATTCGACAGGAGACCTCTTTCGGGGCCGCGTTCCTGTGCGTACCCGGGACGATTGATTATATCTTGTGGCCACAGCGCCGTCTTTGGCGTTATTGTCTGGCATCAGCCGCGATTTTTGTAATTGATAATTAGGACACGAGCAATTTTAGGATGCAAGATAAGGCCATATCGACATACGACGTTTTGCGGAGGCTACAAGTCAACGAATGCTAAAATAAAGCCATTTCATACCTATAGTGCCCACCGTACACATATTGTAATGCAGGTAGGTACTTTGCATATACTCGATAGACATGCCGTCCGGGAGGCCGAGCCTTCTTGATTAACATTCTGCTCAATAGAAACCTCGTCTGCAGTCCCAACAGCCACAATCTCCCATTGGAGAGGGTCCCCAGCCCTGACCTGGAATTGTCAGATAGATGACGGCATACCGCTCACAAAGTCGAACCTCTTGTTGTTGGGGTTGAAGCTCAGACGAGCAAGCTGCATATTGCGCATATTGCCCGATAGGGTCTTGTTAATATCAATAATATTGGTGCTGAAGATATCGACCATCTTGTCACCGCCAACCCTGTCGCCATTGCCTAGGTGGCCGGCAAAGATGCTCGCCGTACAGGTTTTATCTGCCTGTGGAGGTACCTTGAACGACAAGAGGGTAGAAGATTCGCGCTGACTTTGGCGGGCAACGCGCACTTGAAGCCTAGACTATAAACCTCAATCTCACTAGTCGCAGAGGCAAGTCACGCGCATGACGTCCTTGGCTCATGTTCCGACCAAGTTCTGGGCTTCCGATGCAAGCGATTGCTGAGCTTTCGTTGTCTACATTGTAGTAAATCTGTACACGTCGTCTCCCCAAAGGGCGTGAGGTACATTACAAAAGCCAGCATTCCTTGTCCCTTTCAGCTGCTTACATGACCTATTTCTTGATACACCTCTCGATGTCCTACCTTGTTTTAAGCTCAGGAGCTATGTGGCAAATTGAGGCACGCGCGGCAAGAGTAACATTCCACTTCCGAGGCTGTCCGCTCTCCCGCACTGAAGGGTTTCGCAAGATCGTAAACGACCATATGCGATTTCTCTCACGCGTCAAACCTCGGCAAGCTGTGTAAATACTGACGATCAAGGTTATAGATTTCTGTTTGGAGCCATTGCTTGGCTCCTCGGTGCTAAGCATATGACGTTTGTGGCTCTCTCGGAGGTTGTGTGCTCATAGGTCTGATCGGAGTGTCGGCCTGCAACGCAAAAGTGGCGAACGATATTCCGATTGCAAGTACCAATCCGAGGACCCGAAAGTTAAATAAATTAAAGGAACAAACCTGCATTCCAAACCACAAGATCTAAGTGCCACCGCTACCTGGCTTTATTGACCCCTCACCGCCAGCCCACCGCGAGAAACAAGTGTCGACTTCAATATGTCAGAATTTAGATTGAAAATTTCCCTGTTTCTCTCAATTTCTCGTACGTAAAGACAACCGCGCAAGGCGGAAGCTTTATGCCAGGGCGCTAGTGGCTTGCAAGGTACCTTTATCCTCGCGAGATATGTGAGCCTCTACATGCTTGGCTACATCAAAGTTACGCTAGATGGGGGCTTTGATTAACAAAGACCTCAGAGCTTAGAGAATTAGGCTGGGAAATACCGTTTATCACGGAAGGATAACTTGTTTACTGACTAGCCGCTTAGCCAACTTACGAGCTCCGGGCGCGTGATCGTATTTTTTCAGCTGAATGACCATGTGTCGCAGCACTGCAGAGAATCATATCAAGTCACCGAACATCTCGGTCACCCCCAATAGATTATACATGGATCACCTTGGTCCATGTTGGAAGTTTCGATTCATAATTGTGGAATGTGTGTGCAGAGTCAAAACAACTTGCTGCAATCGGGCACAAGCCACGACCCTTCTACTTTGCCAGATTCTCTCCCGCCACAATGTATTTAACTTGGAAATTTATAGAAATAAATGGGGCAAGAATCGGCGAGTCCAAGGAATTCCCGACCGTGTTGGTTCTGGAAAGTGAGTTGTGGGGCTTGGAACGTAGTATTCGGGGAAATGATATGAGAACTCTGTAAAGAATAATTGCTACTGGTAGGTAGATTGAACAATTAAAGATTGTGGTTTCTTCTTTAAAGAAAACTATGACGTTGTGGCCAGCCACATGACAACCGATCGATAAAGTTTAAAACCGGAAAAGGACATCCCTTGTAATTAAGCTTTGAGGGGTAGTATTCTACATCGTACTGTATATACAAACAACACATTCCATGTAAATAACACCGAAAGTCTATTGGAGTCTTACAATCTGTTATGAGAAAGTTTCATGATATGCACCTGAATGTTAATTTGCACACATCCGCCTACATTTTCCATACCACGAGAATTTCGATGGAGCGCAATAACGGGCATCTAGAACGCCACAATTGTTTTGCGAAGCCTCATTCATCATCTATGCGCCGAGATTTAAAGGCAAGTCGAAGACTTTTACTCAAAGGCTGTTGGTACAGTGACCCGCCTAATCAACCATCACATTGATACTGGTAAGAAAAAGATCCAATTAACCGACATCTACAAGTTATGCTTTTCAATATTGCCGACGTTCCGAAGCCTGGCGAGTCTGGACCGTCTCTTCAAGACGTTCCAAGCCAGTATACTTTGTTAGCTAAAAGCAACAAACCCCATGATAAACACCAGACTGCATTGGGCGCTTGGTCACTGGTCACTACGCAAAGCATCAAGACCTGGTCCGGATCATCGGGGGGAAATGCATGACTTCATCGCCGAAGTGCTTCATGCTATCCAATCAGAATGTTTCAACGGATCAGAAGAGAGTTTCATTACAAACAAAGCTGAGCTCACATGTGTCCACAAAATGCATCAATCGATGTGAGCAGAAGCCGCCACGACGCCTGTCTCACAATTGCGTTTTTGTGATTCACTGGGTATACGTAAGATGACAGGGAGAATTTATGACGTGTCAGATGAGTGCAGCCCAGTTGGGAGGCATAAAATCTATATAAGCTGCAGGAATCTCCCGAGTCTGACACCTCCGTTCTCATTCTTACTCTCACCAACAACAGCTTTACTAAAGAGAAATAACTTGAAATCATCAACACTACTATCAATATGAAGTTCGTCACTGTCGCCGTTGCTGCTCTGGCCTCCGTCGCTGCTGCCTGGCCTTATGAGAGAGAGTGCAAGCCAGCTACTTATCGATGCGAGCGCTCCCTTCGAGCTTGGGATGTTTGCAACACCAGCGGCCACTGGGTGGTAAGTATATTGTTCAAATGACATGGCCAAGGGATTGTTCTGATGGTAGTCTTAGTATGCTGGCAACTGCCCGCGTGGCACCAAGTGCAAGATGAATCCAGAGAATCACAGCCCTTACTGCCTCCGTGGCCGCCACGACTTCTACCCCGAAGAAGAGTTCGAGATGTAATCAATGTATTCTCATTTTGTAACTGAGAGATTCCAAGATTTCGCCGGGCTGCCATGGAGTCAAGCTTGTACACTCATTTAGGAATACATTAGGCAGCTCATCTTGGACTAAATATGTAGCTTTAGTATAGTTTAGTGCCTTGTAGGCATCTTGAAATATACTATTGACTATTTGTTGGGACTGAACTAGTCGTGCTGATATAACGCTGTTATCCTTCTTTTATTGTACTATTTTACGAGTATCACCTACAAAAGAATACCTCCAGTTTTTAAGGGCCGTTTCTTTATGGCTTTACGTTGCAAGGATACTAATTCAGCTCTTTTGGTGCGATTGAGGTCCCCCTTCGCCTAGATCATCTCTGTAGCGGTCGTTTTACGGCATAATGCAATCTCTTCCTCCCGGCTTAGCTTGGTGTTTTTGGCTGCAAGGCCCTTTTTAGGTTGAACGCCCGATAGTCGTCTTTGCAGCCGGGTTCGCGATACGTTGAAATGGCGCGCCACAGCGGCTAATTTAGCAATTGGAAATTTGTCAATATATTGAAGAGCTTCTTTCGGGTTTTAACTTCGCTTTCAGCAATTCAACATTAACTACCATCATCTGCAGCACCAGCGATCGCCAGCGAGATCAGAAGCAAGCAACAGCGAGCTCAAAGTGGCTTCTACGCCGCAATAATGGATGATAATTCACAGGAGATGAAGCGAAGGAGGTGATGGTATTATTAGATCACGTCTAGAACTGCGCTAAAAGCGCCGATTATAATTAATAGAATTATGTGGGAAAGAAAAAGAAAAAGAAAGGTCAGTTGTCCAAGCTTGGTGAGTGTGTGGCGCAAATGAGTATCGAAATAAGTCAATGTCCCGATCATCTCTCTGCAAAAATACCTCCCTAAACGTCTCCCATAAACGGGATATCGGTCCAATTGCCATGAGAAACATGGATGCCAACCTTGGTGGCGACCATGATGCCAGCTACAGCATACGATGCGTACTTTACAATTTTGACAAGGAGCTCCAACTCCGGATTCGTCCCTAGAATATCCTATTAGCCAGGGGGAAAAAACAACAACAAGAGCATGGTCAAAATACCAACCTTTTATGACCCTCTCGAGCGCTCCGCTCCAGGCGCCGAGAAGAATGAAGACGTAACTCGCCATGTCGAGCGCGCTGTCGCCGTCATTCTTCCCAGGCCAATCCGGAGTTATGATCTCCAAGACGCTCGCCGCGACGGAAAGCGCAAAGATGACGGCCTGGAGAATGGCGTCGAGGACGGCACGCACTTTATTCACCACCAGCTTTGTGAGCGCCGTGATGAAGTGCAGCACGATATTGGTCGTCGAGTTGAACAAGGCCACGACCCAACTGATGAGCCGCAGCGTATACCCGGGCTTCTTGTCCCCGAGCGGGACGCTGTGTAGCGTGTACATCAAGATACAGGGGTCGAGGAAGTGGTCGAGCGTCACCTTGCCTTTCTTCTTACCTTGTGATACCTCCAGGTCCGCGAGGGCCACCAAGCTGGCCGTCGGCCGAGGCTGACCAACAAAGAGCAGCTGGTCGTGCTGATCAGTTAGCTCGGCTGATACCGGAAGCAAGCTTTCCGGGATGCTGATGAGTATGGCGATCGTGGCCGCCGACACGCCGATAATTGCGGCGAACTTGTTGAACTCGGGATCCGGCACAGCCTTGCCGCTTGCCAGGTTCTTGATAATGGTAGCAAACTTGCCCCTGGGGATGCCGGCGGCTTCTTGCCCGTCACTATCTTGGCGAAAACGGTCGCGGGTATGGCTATGACCAATGCCAGCACGTCGAGGGATGGTCGGGTCATGCCCCGGCCGGATGAACGTCTTGTACAGATACGAGAAGATGGGGACGTTGATGGGCGCCGTGATGATGCCGTTGAACGTCTTGATGATTGATTTGATCAAGTTCAGAAGCATGTCAGTCAGCTTCTCCACGCCGTCGATGCAGCCGATCAAGAAATTTGTCGGCGCCTGGTCGTGAGCCTGTTTTGCGTCCAGAGAGCGTTTTCCTCGGGGTTCGTAATCATGCACCACTTGGTTGATGCGACTTTTAATCTCGTCTTGGTGTTTTCCCTGTATGCTTTTCAGCTCCTCATCTACTTTGTCAAACAGCTCCCGTTCCGCTGGGCTCAGCATGTCCGAGATGACTGCTCCTGACAAAAAGGTGGACGCATCGCGACCGCCCCCGTGGTTAAACTATTGACATTTTCATCACCTTGCGTCAGCAGCGGCATCTAAAAACGAATTGATAGCTTTTACACAACGCTGCCAGCTTGTGTTTACATCTCTTGGAGCATCTTACCTGGTACGCCGCCCAATTTGCAGCCATGGAATTCCCTGCCGGGTTCTTGGATTGGCCTTTCGAGCCCGAGGCGTCGTTCGCCTTGATATCCAGTTTCTTCATCTCCGCCTCGCTTGGTCGGCTGTCTGATACTTTATGTTTCAGGGATTCAAAGAAGTCCTTTGATTTCGACTTTAAAGAATCCAACAAGACGGGCCCTTCTTCAAGGGCATCCTGGACAATGTTCAAAATGGAGTCTCGGGTGTCCTTGATGTCCCCCCATTTGAAGAGGTATCCCAACCACTGGACGAGCTTTTTCCCAAGCTCCATAATCTTCTTGAAGATGAAGGAGAGGACCTTTCCTACGTGTTCAACCGTCTCCATGACCAATTGATAGATCTCTTTTCCTATCTTGACCAAGACGATCGTTCCGTTGACAATGAATGAAATGACCTTGTCAACCTGCTTTTCCAGCCAATGCCACCATCCCTGAGGTTCTCATGTCAGCAAGTTCCAAGACGCCAACTTGTATTGCCCACAAATCGGAAAGAACAAATACCGCTTACCCACAGCATACGTTTAACCCCGTTCTCCGCCCCCTGAATTATTTCTTGGGCATGAAATCCACGGCTGTCCTCCAGCGGCACCGTGTAGGGAGTTTCGCCTCGGTCGAAGGAACGTCTCGTCTTCATGGCCTCATGGATGCACCCTGCCACCTCTTCGATCTCTTGAGGCGTCAACTTGGTACCATCGAGCAGCTTCCCCTGGCCAGGCCCTAGGTCGATGTCCAGATCTTCCTTGTGCTTAATCTTGCATAACCTCTGGTTGATCTTGTCTGCCGGATCCACCGCCAGGGACTTTGCGGACTCGGAGCCAGGCGAAGCATCGGTGACGCTAAACTTGGGTGTCGAAATGTCATCCGTCGGCACGGTGAGAGTGAGAAGGCCGCTTTGGTCAGTCATAACGGCGACGCCCGCGTTCGTGGCGACGACGCCGCGGCCGTTTACAATCACGCTCGTTTCCCCCGAAGACCTCAGAATGACGGGATGATTCAGCAGGGGGGCTCCCGATGCGCTGATGGGCTTGATCTGGGTCATGTAGGACTGCACTTCAATAACCTTATCCAAGGACGGCTGAACGATGGGGACTGGTTTCCAAATTTGGGAACTCTTGCCCTGCTCCAGCATGGCGATATTGCCAACATTGTTAGCAAAGACGAATGCCTCACATGCCGACGGCGTCGATTTGAAGGGAGCAAAGTAGCCCCCCTGGTGGTCCGGAACGACTTGCACAGCGACCGGGTCGGGCACCCCGAAGTGAGTGTCCGTCATCATGTATCCAATGCCGTTGTTGGTGTTTGAAGCCCACACCGAGGTCCCGGAACCAGACGTTGTGACTTGAAGGTCCTTGACCGAGGAGAAGACGCCCGCATCAGTTACTTTGCTGGGGCCAGGATGAGCCAATTCCTTGGCTTTAAACCTAAACAAGCCAGTGCCCCCGGCGAGGAGATCACTGAACCCATCCGGCGTCTGTACGGCGGCCAGAGCCCGAGGATCTGGGCGAAAAGATTAGCAAATCTCATTGTGGCTATGCAGCTTTCAGTACATTTCATTTACCGGCTGGGGTTGGATCTATTCCCAATTTTAGCAATTCATTTCTTTTCTATTTTTATCTCATATTTATGCAGCCACAGCTTACCAGATGGTTCTTTGAGAGGCACGTCGATGTCGTGAGGAGCATCAATTGACATGAAGACGATAGCTTTTTTACCTGCATTGTATCGTTTTAGTCTCCTTGTTTTCAAAACTAGTACCAAGCCTCTTACTTGGGCCAGGGACATGGCAATCGAGAGAGGAATCGCTTCTTCAACCCTAAACGTACCTTGTGCCATGTGGAGAACGGCATGTCCAGGGATCGTTTTGGAACCGTATTTCATGACCACAGGCTGCACTGCTATTACCTTCTCTGCATTTACCGGAAGCCTGACGTTGTTCTTCTTCTTCCACGAGTAGCCACTTTCGGACATGGTCACGGAGGCAGAAGCGAGGTCTTCAGCGTGGTGGATCTCATCGCGGAAGGAGAAGACGACGGGAGAATAGTTTTTGCCCACTGCAGGAGCCTGGATACACGTCAATCTTCCTGGCAAGAGGCAAGGGCAAATGGAAGGAAAGGCTGTGTTCAATCAGGGCTCACCATGAAGATCTGGATGACCTTGGCGCTCTCGGAGACACTGCCGTCCATGATGAGCGACTCGAGATTCAGGTCTGGGGATGAGAAGTCCATATTGATTGCCCCGAGGGGCTGCAGCAGGTACAGCAAGCTCTTGGAGGGATCAGACGACTTCTCAATGGCCACCGATATGTACAGCTTGGACTTGGCATCCTGGACCACGTCAAAGGCGTGCGCGACGTAGGCGGATGGGAATCCCAGTGAATTGCCCAAATCGCGGATGACTCGGTTTCCCGATGGGTCGAGAGCAGAGACGTAGAGTTTGGAGTCGGTCCCCAGCGAGAAGAGCATCAACTGTCCGTTGTTATCGTGGACGGACACGAAGCGGCGGGAGTTGGGAACGGCAACGGCAGCGATGTACTGGGACATCTTTTCCGAATCGTGATGAACAGACTCCATATCTACGATGGTTGGCTTACGGGGAGTTTATAAGGATACGACAACACAATGATGCTGATGATAGTATTGGTACTCATGATCCTGGGGAGCTATGGATTCATGATTTGTTTGGACCGTTCCAACTCGCGACTCTTATACCAAGGGATGGTATTTGCAACCCAGGTATATTCGTATGATTCGGTTTGTCGACGGCAAGAAGGGAGGGGGTGGGAAGCATGGCTGTTATCGGACCGGCCCCAACATGAAGGAGTAGCGGTGCGTTTACCAGTCAACTCAACCTGAATCATGTCCATGATGCTAGTCGTGTAGCTCATTCCGTCACCAAGTTTTTGACTAGGCCGCATGCCCAGCAGCCACATCAACGCACACATCGGCCCATCTACACTGCGATATTCAGACAAGCTATGTGAGACAGGCTGAAAAGATGTCTATGGCCGGCTGGGTGGGTAGTCTATGGGGTTTCAGTATTGCGGAGAGTGGGATAGCTGATAAGCGCAATAACCGCCGCCTATATGGGCTCGTGTTGCTTTCAACAGACTCTCAAGTCTACGACCGTACTTGGTGCGTACTCGTGAGACCTGACTATCGTATCAACGGGGTGCGCAGCCGGCAGCTGGTTGAAGGTTGCAATTTGCAAGCGAGGTTCTGAAACAAGAAAGCCTTGTAGAGCACGGGATATCGTGTGCGGCTTGCCATCGGAAACGTTACTCGCGGCTCGACCCGAGAAATACATATCTTCTGCATGGGTGACCGTTGATCCAGATGGCCAACTGTCGCGGACGGCCAACTTGGGAACCCAGTTCACATTCGATCCCTAAAACATTCAGCTCCTCCGAGGCGGTTGATAGAAGAGCGGTGAGGATATGGATGGAGGACTCGCTGCCATCCCTGAATGGCCGTAGCAACTTTGAATCTCGGCATCTCAGTCTTGGTCCATTGGACTCTAGATGTCTTTAGTCTATGCATGGCAACTTGTGACAACCTGAAGTATCAGGGACTTGACTTACAACTGTCCTTGTCTTGATAATTACATACCATCGGACAACTCTATTCGTAGAAACTCGCATGTCTGAGTGGGTGCTGTGTCAAGTCTTAGACCCGTCGCAGATTGACTCAGAAATTTGACAGCGTACGGGTTCAAATGTCATCATGCAGAGGTTAAACAAACAGTCTTGGTACTTGCCAATCTGCAAGAGCCCCGGCCCCTTACAGCAATAGAATTTGTATACGGGGTAGGTATAATGTACTTTTAGCATCAGCTCAACTACATCATGGTCATGCTGCTTGGGTGGAAGTAAATGCTACTGTATAGGAGGCATGTATCTCATGCGGTCACAACTTATCATCACAAACGACCGTTAGACAGTCCCATACCTGACGTTGATGTTCCCATTGCAGCGCCTATCTGCAATACACTGGAAGCGGCTAGCTACGCCTACCAGACTCGTCTTTCTGTGTGAACACCGGCCACGTCAGACAAATCTCAATCATAATTCTTCTCATCTTGGGCATAACACTACCGAGACCTATTTGTCCACCCCCCCCCCCCCCCCCTTCCAACCAGAAGTCGACGATTCCCTTGAGGCCTTGATGCAATCTCATGACACGAGACGCGAGGTATAAAGCTCGCGGATAGGTCCCGGCTTCATATCACAATTTGCATGATCAATTCATTCGTTGTCAATTTACTCTTAGTTCACTGTTAACTTCGTTCTCAGGACTTGTCCCACCTTCGGCTTCCGTCTTGGCCATGTCCGTGCCAGCCTTTGAAATGTCCCCAGTAGAGCAGAAACGGCTGCAGGCGTCTCTCAAGACGGCCACCGGTACCTTTAATCAGGCCGTGGCAGTCTCCCAGGACGCGCTCAACGACGGTTTGTATTACTTGTTTGACAAGTTCGAGGAACTGAAGAAGATGGAAGTGAATTCAAAGAAATTTGGTTCCATCAACGCCTCGATGAGTTATTCCGAAATCTCTCTGCCTGTAAAGTCCTCCAATTACCGCACAGTCGTCTTTTATTGCATCTTTGAATCCGGACAGCTCATTGTCACGGATGACATGGGGTATGAATATGGCGGTGCTCATTCGTCGTCCTCCCGTCCTTCCAGGCTCGGCTCAGCTCACTCACTAACATGGCGCTTCATGCAGCCGACCCAAGCCGCGTATTAAAATGGATAAATGGCGTTTTGCCTTTGACGTCGACTTTACTACCCTCCAAGTGCCGCCGCAAACACAAGAACACGAAGAGGTGAAGAAGAAGCTGAAACAGCTAGGCGACTATTCCATCAAGAGGTTGTTCCTCGACTTTAAAAGTGAGATTTTGAACCACGCGGTCAATCTATAAATTTGCCTCCAGCTATTGACTATTTTGACCAGCCCACAAGATTAGAAATTTTAAAAAGGATCTAAGCAGCTTCGGGGACCACGTATGGAACAATGAAGACTTGCAAAGCTTCCTGTCTCTCATGTCCTTCTGGGGCGATCCAGACAAGGGGGTCATGAAGGATCCCCAAAAGTCGACGCTGGGATATTACTTGACGACCCCGAAGCCCGAGACGGTCAATCCGCCGGCCCCGACGTTCCCGCCGACTGCCATGAAGCATCAGCACTACAAGTATATTGCACCCGGAAAGGACGTTCCTGACGAAGGACTGAAGCTTGGCAAGAACAATATGCTCTTGTATTTGGAAATGACCCAGAACCGGTCATTCCCAAAAGAGGACATCCTAGAATATTCAGGCAATTTCGTCACTGCGGGCATGAAAGGGACAACCTGCATCTCCCGAGACGTCTTTTGGGATTCGTATCTGATCCGAAACCCGCCCCTAAGCAGTCCTCCCGGGTCGCTGCCTCCACTCCTCCGCGAGTTCAATAGGCATACCTACGCCTGGTTGGGAGGCTTTCACATTTGGGCTAAAGGATACGTCGCTGGTGTGGCCTGGAGCTTCGGATTCGGGCACACAGGCTGGGAGCCACCGCGAACCCACGAGTATTTTGCATGGAAGCAAGTCTCGGCGGATAAATGGGAATGGAAGGTAAGCGACGACAAATCGGACAGTGACAAGGGAACATGGCCCGTCAAGGCCGAGGGAAAAGCGAAAAGTATGTACGGCGTGTGCGGTAGTGGTAGCCCGTGAAGGTAGCTTTCTAATGGCATCCAAGGTTACACGTACAACGAGTTGTGGTTCGTGCCGGGCCAAAACGTTATACACATCAAGGGAGTCTCGAAGCTCTGGGCAGAATGGAAGAAGAGTGGTTGGGAGACGTTGATAGAAAAGTGAGTTCCTCCCAATGTGCACCCTTTTCATGGGGATGGGTGATAATGTGTGCAACGCGCGCTGCAGGGGAGGCTCCGAAATCAAATTCAGCGTGGATATCTCGGTGGACTCTGTCATCGAGGGAGGCCTGAAGCTAAACATGAACCTTCCGCAAATCCCCAAGGACGTTTTCAAGATCACCCAGGTGATGAATCCTTGGGGCGCGGCTGCTCAACAAGACAGCAGCGACGACACCGAGTCCGAGCCCGAGAGGTGGGAGACGGCCGAAGGTGACGAAGACAAGGTCATCCCGGAAGCAAAGGCAGGGGAAAAGAAGTCCATCAACGTCAAGGACATAATGGAGGCGGCCAGTTTTGCAGCTAACCAACTCGATTTCAAGCCCATGACGACCAATTTGCAGTCGGCGTTGCTGAACTCGGCACGCTTCGTTATTTCCGGTGGCCAGGACTTTTTCCACAAGAACCCCGTGTTCAATAACAACGGAGATCTTATTGTGGAGGCGACGTATAAGCATCGATAGCCCAAAAGGACTAAAGGCCGTGGCCCCCAATCCATCCGTTGCAGCCCAGACATAGTTGAACTAGGTCTGATGACAACGTAGGCCCTTGTCATAAGTGTAAGCAAAGCGGCAAGCCGGGGGGGGGTCAAAATTGAAGGTCGGAATTAAAGGCTTAAATTAAAGGCCTAAATTAAAAGTTAGGACACAATAATATGGCGCGTATAGTCAATTCTACAATATGCTGGCTTATTTAGGCTGTCAGTCACGGCCAGGGCACAAGAAAGGCGTCGGACCAACAACAGTTACACAACACTTAAACACCAAAGAAGGTATCACGAGACCTAGATTAGGGCCTTGGGCCAGAGCGCCGTCAGGCCCCCATCGCTCACCGACTTGCACATATAATCTTCGGTCCCTCAAGGCCTCGTGGGAAACGAAGGACCTTTGATACCTTAAAGATTAATATCAATGAAATCTAACTTAACACCGCCCGCCTAAGAGTCCCAAGAAAGTAGTAGAATGTCGTGTGAGATTGGTATTGCAAGTCTAAATGGGTTCATTAACCCTAACCCTGACTATGCATTGCAACAACTGAGGTAGGTAACAGAGGTATGTTTTCATAGCAATCTGGCTATAATATATAGTCATGTCGCGTCGCTTGACTGTCTAATTGAATGTTGAACAATATTAAAGCACTAATGGCCCTATCGTCCGCACAACTATATGAGGGAAATGACAAATCCTGGAGCTCACATGGTCTGTTTATGCTTGCAATCTGTGCTCAAGTCTTATTAAGGAATGAGAATAGGGCGAAGCAAATAAAACAAACTATATAATAACACACTCCTGAAGAATTAAAGCTCCACGCCTGCAGCATGGCGTATGCCATTCTATTGCTCCCTTCCTGACTTCCGTTTCCGACTCTAGTTTTATGAGTTTGCTATCATTCAATCCCTCCACAACAAACTGTTATTCCAAAGCCCCATCGCTTCTTTTTCCTGAGCTGGCCCTCGTGTTGTAGTTGGATCTCACATAATGTCTCAATTTTCCATCCGATGCTGGCACATTCATTAAACAAGTGTACAGGATCTCCTCCATCCTCACTTGTTCGTCTTCGAGCCCCGTTGTCCAAGTGCGCTGGTTTGCTCATTGTCTGTAGACTGTCTTCTAGTGACTTAGCCTTCCCAGTCCTAGACAAGATCTACATGTCTCATCTGGTCCTATAGCTCTGCCTCCTCGTTGATAGCATATCCCATCGCTTTAAATAGCCGCATGGTCTTCCCCTCCTGAGGATTGCAAAGCGTAACACCCCGATCGCTCAGATACTGCCACGTCTCTCTGATAAACTTGCGGGCTTTCTTCTCAGGAACCCTGGTTTCAATCTCCATAATATGCAGCCCCCCAACCACCACGTCGTCGAATTTGGCCTTGTGTCCGTTGATTCGTATCTTCCACTTGCCGTCCGGGTAAGGCCCGTACTCAACGAGCGCACTCCAATTTACATGCTGATACCGTTCCGCGAATTGCACCTGCTCCTCTCGCCAGATGTTTTCCGGTGATGCCGGGTCTAGAGGACATCGTTTCTCGCAGTTGTACGTGGGATCATTTTTGCCATAGCGATCCCATCCGCATTCCACAAAGTCTGGTACATTGGCGGTCTCTTCATCGAAGCTGACTTTGATGGTGGATAGAGGCTGACCTTTATTTGTTTTTGTTCGAAACATCATGCCCGAAAATATATGGATCGGCGGCTTTTCGTCGTAGTATGCGATCGGGTTTTCTTTGTAAGGGGGCATTGTCGGGTCGAGACCAAGCTTGGCGAGCGTCTCTTGGGGAGTTGAGTCGCAAATAGCCCATTGCAGGCTAATCTTGTTTTTTGCCCTCGCAAAGGACAGTGCAAAGAGGAGAATCGAGTATAGCGCAAATTGATGCATTGGCTTGACCTGGAAAAGACGGCGTTTTGCTTTCGACGGAAGACGGCCGAGTCAAAGAGGAAGGCGTATACGTGGAAATCCTATTTACGGAAAACTCGTTGTGCGCAGATGACTCAATTCATTCAAGGGGATAGCGAGGGATGTTGAAACAAAAATTGAATAAATGAAAGACTAACAAAGTATTTTAGTCAATCGATCTGCGTTCTTCCGTGAACACGTCACAATTGTCGGGAAATGACGTGGTGAACCTTTGAATGCCTCCAGGGTAGTGGGCGTTGGGGACGGGGTTGTGCCCGAAATTAGTTGTTCCTGATAATTGCCAGAGCTTGACGCTTCCGTCAATGGCTTGCAAGCTAGCTCAGGGCTTTTAAAAAGAATCTAGTGTATAATATTTAGGTTTCGTGAAGACTGTTGAGGTGGAGCGTGGCCGAAGGGGTGGTCACGAAGAGAGTTGGGCAGCCGTGTTTTAAATTCACTCCAGCCTCACTTTCTGCTCCGTACTTGTGCTGTTGCTACCCGTTGGCAACTACGTGGCTCGTCCACTTAGTCGCTGACGGGTAAGCGTGAAAGACGTTGTCTTACCACAGCTGTGGCTTATGTGCATCCGACAAACGAGTAAGAGTACCCGGGCATCAGCACAACCCAATCAAGGACGGGTCGCCATCCCGCCATGACATCAGCGGCTGCTGGCATGGAAACAGTATCGATGTACGGAGTACGGAGTAGTACTTGAGAACTTGCAAACCCAACAATCTTCTCCCCATTTTCGGTTGGGTTATTGTTCAAACGCAAGGCTCCACATACCAGGAGCGGCACTTTGGTGATCAAGCACCGCCGAAAACGGTAGTGGAATATGAATAGGGCGTGTCAGCAGCTACTCGGCCAGACGAGTGACAACTTATACCGGCTGTAGCTTCTTGCAAAGAATTTCAGGACAGGGCCCTACATATGCTCTGTATAGTGCAAACAACCCAGCATCTTCCATACCTGTTGAGTCAAAAATGTGCCTTCGGAGGCGGTTGATGGTAGTTGCTTTTTCTACTCCGTAGAGCTGAAATCATGTCTCAAATTCAACACAACGATACAGGGATCTTCCCGCCACTCCGACCGTATCACACGGAATTACACGGCACATGGGCGTCACACAAGGGGCTTTGATCACGACACCTAGGGCAAAAGGTTGACCGACTTGTTGATCGACCTAGTACCTGGTTATCTAGGCCTTGATTGGAGCCAAGGACCTGCAATGCCAGACTTATTTCTGATGAATTGAACCTTGTTGTTCCAAGCCCTCTACTGAGCCCTTGTCACAAACCAGGTATAAAAAGGTCTGATATAGCATTTTCAGAGACATTTCATCATCATCAACGAAATCACCGGGATTGTCACACGGCCGAGACCAAAACAAAGGCATCGGCCACAAAGGTTACACAATAACAAAGGGAGGTATCACGAGGGCCCGTAGTCGGACCTTGGCGAGGGCTGCCTCAGGCCTCTAGGGCTCACCGACTTCTTGTATTTATAAAAACTCCTGAATCCCTCAAGCACTCTTGGAGAGCCGAGGACTTCTAAGATCTCAGAGTCAATTATTATTTCAGGAATTGAACACACGTTCCAAGCCCAGTTACCCTGCTCGGGCAGAAATAATGGCAGGTATATTTGACACTCGCGCACTATCTATAAACCACCAAGGAGAATGTCATGTAGGAGGCTGTCACGATGCCCATGCACAGGTATACGCCTTGTTATAGTCTCGCGGCTTTATCATTTCGGAGATGCCGGGAAGGAAAGTTGATGTTCCGGCTCTGGAGCAGAAAGTATGAGCAACTGAAGTAATGCCGGCGATGAAAGTTGGATTCCCAATGACGTGGTAAAGGAGATCAAAGCCGCCGGTCTGAGGAGCGGCCGCTGGACAATCTTGCGTCATGCCACCAACACTGAGAACATGGTCCTGGTATGCTGCACAAAGGAACACGGTTATGGAGGGCAGCAATACACGACGATGAAGACGGCAATATATACCAAGAGGAAGCCAAGCCAGGTGAGCCGTGCAATTTTCTCAACTTGCGAATACTGTTCATGAGAAACACCAGGGCGGTAGCCATCAGCATAAAGTAGTTTGCGCAGACGGCATGACTTGACAAGGCGCCGAGAGCCACCGAAAATTCTCGATGTGAAGACAATAATGTACGTCACGAGGAAGAAGACTCCCGTGACCTCCTTTAACCACAATCCGCCAATCACCTTGGCCATGTCCGCAATGGAATGGCAGCCGGCATGCGAGTTGCGAAAGTTGCCCTGGATAGTGGCACAATGCGTGTTCAGAAACCATCCACGAACAATGAGGGCACCCGGAAGCGCCCCCAAGACGAACATTGCAGAAGGAATGGTAAGAACGTCCGTTGCAAATATCACTGTCTTGTGTTGGTGAGAGTATCTTTGCTGCGATAACCACGAATCGTACCTTTGAGGAAGATGGCTGAGGCATGGATCCATCCTTACACTTTATTAGCCAACTTGTGTAGGCTGATGTCGGGAACCGGGTGAAGCACAACACACTGACGGTGCGAAAGTTGACGGCTCCCTCGCGCGTCTCGAAGACTTGGAAGGCGTTATTGTCAAGTTTCACACCATGAATGGTGTCACTGCTGCGGGCTGCGGCCGGTGGAATAGCGTCAGACTTTTCTGAATCGGACATGATGAGGGTATACGTGGTCGAAGGGGGAACAGTCAAATTGGGTGTCGTTAAATATCGAGATGTCGACGATATACAATTCCACCACCCCCAATACCAGAACTCGGCTTATCGTGGTGGTCAGACAGTTCCGAGCAACATGCACAATATTACCCTTGTCTACCCCGCGAAATACAAACCAGACTTCATCCTCGTCTCTTGGCGGGAAACCGGGGATCTTTGTGGGGTAAAAACACGACGAATCACGAACGTTGGAGTGCTGAAGGAGGAGCTGAGCGAAAGTCATAGCACGCCAGTTCAAGCAATGACATGGTAAAAGGTGATTGTTGTACGAAATTTTGAATTTCAATCACTCGATAGCTAATTGAAGCGCCCAGGTACTGCTGGCAGCAGGGCCCCCGGAGCAGGGGCATTCTTCGACTTGAACTCGTCGCAAATCTGCTCCATGGTTACAAATTCAACACCCTCATGCCTCTTCATATGCTCAATAAGTCTCTCGTGCATCAACAAGGCGTGCGGACGACCCGACACGTCGGGATGAATCGTCAATGGAAAAATAAAGTCGTCATACTCGCGGTAAAAGTAGTCAAAATGGTCGCGCCAAATGTCCTCCACATCTCGTGCGTTTACAAATCCATGGCTGTTGGGAGCATTCTTGATGAACATCATCGGAGGCAAATCGTCAAGGTACCCTGTCGACAGAGTCAGCTCTTACAGGACCAGACAGCAAAGCAGGTACAGCGGCCGGGCCTCACAGTTTGCCGGAATCTCAACCAGGCCAGTCTCCTCGCCCTTGACACAGGGGCGCATCCAGTCGCTTGGCTTCTTGGAATAGTCTATCTTGGACCAGGCGTCGCCGGTGCGCAGATAGTAAGGCTGGCAGTCGTGGTGGCTCATGCTGTGGTCATACTCGATGCCGTAGTCGAGGAGGAGCTGAGCTCCCTCTTTGCTTGTTTCCCACCACGGCGCAACACTGCCACGAGGAGGCTTGCCGCTGAATTCGGTGAGCATGCGGTACGTCTTGTCCAAAATCTCCCTCTGCTGATCGATGTTCAAGCGGCTGGGGTTCTCGTGGGAGTAGCCATGCAGTCCGATTTCGTGTCCAGCATCGCGAACCGCTGACATGTCTTCTGGGAATGTCTCGAGACTGTGGCCGGGAATGAACCATGTTGCCTTGATGTCGTATTTGGCAAGAAGCTTCAGTATGCGCTGCACTCCCACAGTTCCGGCAAAGTAGCCTGCAGAAAGCTGGTTAGAGTGATGTAGAAGCGGTGTCAATAATGGAATATGAGTACCTCTGCTGATGTCATGAGATGAATCCTCGCCCCCATATGACCCGAGCCCTGCGTACACATGTTAGAACATGCCACGATGGTGGTCCGCAGCTGCGTACATCCTGCGACGGCATCGACGTCAACGCCATAAGATACCAAAACTCTCTTCTTGGCCATTTCGAAGCTGCAAGTTTATCGGGCATGAAGCGATCTTGTCGGGTTTCCTCGCGGGGGCTGGGGCTGGGGATGCGGAACCTGCAGGCTTAAACACGGGGTTGACCCTGCATGGTTGCGTCACCTTCATGTTGCCAGTTCCATGCATCGTGTTAGTGTGATGAGGTGGTGGATCCAATGTCACGTAAGGGAAGATGAGTGCGGCTGCCATGGGCTATCGCGTGGTCAATGCTTGAGCAGTTTCATGTTGACAACTGCCCCGCGGGACAGCGACTTGCCAGGGAGGTAGGTATCAGATGCTTCGCAGCCGGCATTGGTCGTTGACTGATCCAAAGAGTGAAATACTGGAAGCTTATCAGGCTATCGATTTCCGAGGCAGATTGGTTGTCGACGTGGCTCAGGAAATAAGTGCTGCGTGATTCACTGCGCCTTACACAGATCCAAAAATCCGTCGGATGGCCCATTTGGATGCAATCAATCTTGAGATTTTGCAATTGAATGGCCGCAGTCGGCTGGGCAGGGTGCGGCCCCTCAACCGAGCCAGGTACGTATCTATCAAACACGGAGGGGCATGGGGGGCTGCAGCATCTGATAACGAGTACCGTGGAGGATGGCCCCGCCAAGATGTGAGCGATGTCGGCCCAACTCATTGGGTGACTCGACTCGAACAGACCATGCAGCTTGGAGGGGCAGAGTCGCGTATGTTTTTATTTTATTTTATTTTCTCTTCAACGTTGCTGCCTTCTATTACCACACTGCAACACTACGCTTAAATCATTTCGCTCCTGCAACCATGTCCAAGGGCCGCGTCTGTCTGTGAGTGCCTCCAAACCATCCAATTGCTCTCCATTGAGACCATTGACTGATCTGATGCCTCCTTCAGCGCCTACTCTGGTGGCCTCGACACCTCCACCGTAAGCTTGACGAACCCATCCACGCTAGATTGTACATTCGGCTTCTGCGACTCGCATGCCAGCTAATCTTGTTTTGCATCAATAGATCTTGGTTTGGCTTCTTCAGCAGGGCTACCAAGTTGTGTGCTACCTCGGAGATGTCGGCCAGGATGAGGACTTTGCCGCCGTCGAGGCCAAGGCCCTCAAGGTCAGGACCCGACGCCGCTCTCCTCGCGTGCCATTGAATCCTTGCTTACTTTGTCCTGCAGCTGGGTGCCGAGGCTTTCGTCTGCGAGAACCTTCAGCGTGAGCTGGTAGACGATGTCGTCAGCCGTGCCATCATGTGCAACGCCATCTTCGAGGACCAATACCTTCTGGGTACCGCATTGGCTCGCCCTATTATTGCTCGAAGCATGATCCGAGTAGCTGAGAAGCACAACTGCGCTTACTTGTCCCACGGCGCAACAGGCAAAGGCGTATGTATCACCCTTCTCTGGGAGTTTCCAACACAATGCTGACCTTGGCTATAGAACGAGTGAGCATCCCATATTGAACAAGAGTACGAATACGGCACACTAACACTGAGCTTAGCCAGGTTCGATTCGAGGTTGGTCGCCGCCCGTGACTTTATACGCCCTGATGTAGGCTAATCATGTCTTTCACAGCTCGCTTTCATAGCCTTGAACCCCTCTATTCAAATCTTGGCACCCTGGCGAATGCCAGAGTTTATTGAGAAGTTCCAGTCCGCACAACTCAAATCTGCCTCTGCTATGATTACAGTAGGACTGACTCTTATTCACCAGGGGCCGCAATGACCTTCTCAAATTCGCCGCCGAGAACAATATTCCCGTCTCATCAACCCCCAAGGCACCATGGTCCATGGATGAGGTAAATAGGACCCTTCCATTTCTTCTTTTTTTCGACTGCTGACGTATATTGTCCAGAACATCATTCACACCTCTTATGAGGCTGGTATTCTTGTGCGTTGACTTAGAACGTCTCATACCCGCACTCTATACTTATCAATAACAACAATAGGAGGACCCCGATCACACACCGCCAAAAGAGTTGTGGATGCGAACCAAGTAAATAACTGCGCTTCTATTTGGCGAGTTCATAGACTGACAGTTATTTAGGGATCCCCAGGACGCTCCCAACGAGCCCACCGAGTTCTCTGTTCACTTCGAGAAGGGGTATGTTACCTCGTATTGTCGGATCAGTCAAACCTCGCTAACAGAGACTTCAGACTCATCTCCAAGGTCGTTCTTGGCGACAAGGAGGTCACCGATTCCGTTGAGAGCCTCAAGCTGCTGAACAAGGCAAGTTTTGTTGCATGTTACTGCAGTGTCGATGAACATGGCCTAACATGCGTCTAGATTGGCTATGAGAATGGCGTTGGACGAGTTGATATCGTGGAGAACCGTACGCATCGTCTAGGTCCCACACTGGTTGCGCCTTGCTAACATTGTATGACAGGTTTCATCGGTCTGAAGAGCCGAGGTATTTATGACAATGCACAACTGTACTCATGGCTGACATTGACTAATTTTGCGTCCTAGGCTGCTACGAGTAAATAATACTCCTCGAACCCAAATTTGCCCCTATCAAATAACTTTGATAGCTAACCTCCGCCCTGTATCATAGCACCCCCGGTCTGACGCTCGCCCGTCTGGCGCACTTGTCCCTCGAAGGCTTGGTCATGGATGGCCGCGTCCGTGAACTCAGGGACCAGTTTTCCAGTATCACCTGGTCTCGTCTCATCTACAACGGCATGTACTTTAGCCCCGAGCGCGAGTTTGTATGTATTCCCCAGTCCCGACTTCAATCTTATTCTCTCCAACACAGTATTAGGTCGAGAACTCTGTCGTCTTCTGCCAGCACAATGTGACCGGTGTCGTCAGGCTTTCTGCCTACAAGGGCCACGCCTACGTCCTCGGTCGATCCAGCAATGCTTCCAACCTGTACTCGGAGCAAGATGCCTCCATGGACTCTCTCGAAGGGTTCTCTCCTATGGAGTATGTATGAATGAGGCTCCGGTGGAAGATTTGACTGACAGTTGCCTAGCACTACTGGCTTCATTGCCATTCAGGCCATCCGCCTCAAGAAGTATGGTGAACAGAAGATCAAGGATGGCCAGCCCCTCAGCAAGTCGTGATTTGTTTGTAGATGAACATTGTACGTCTACGGGAGTAATATGGGTCCATGACTGGACAGGCGTCGGGGAGCACTATGGGATCATCTGCAACAAAATGCAGAAAGCCGTTTTGGGGATGGCAGAAAAAAAGTTGGAGCGGCTGGTAGGAGCGCCCGAGACACATAGCACTGTGGTTGTTTGAGATATTCAACAAAGATAATGAATCCCATAACTCATGGTGCACTATTATGGCGTAGCATGATGCGTCCAATGCGAGTATTTGTAGACCAGTGATGGATGTGTTGGGGTTGGCGGCCACGTTGCGTAAATGATGGAAAACCACCCGTCGTGCACACATGGGATGGATGAGCCAACACACGAGCGCTGGCTGGCAACCATCTTCTTTTGATACCATGTATACATATGTAGGCTAGATCAAAGGCACACAACTAGCCTGCTATGCAACCGGCACGCACCATCATCACCAGAGTGTTGGACGCTGGGGCAGACATGGTCGGCACAATAACATGCGAGAACTTTTGCAACTCGGCGGCGTCATTCACCAGCGCACAGGGTATCGTCCATAACCCCCATCAGCCTGGATACTCGGCAGGCGGCAGCGGGAAGACTCGCCCGTCCTGGAGCTGTCCTAGAGGACATTTCTGCTCCGCTTCATCTGCAAGTGCCAGCTGTGTGGGCGCTTCAGCAGCATATTTCCGGTTCCTCGGGCTGGAGACGGCACAGCTGCCTTGGAGCAACTCAAACTCCCGGAAGCTCTTCCCGTCAACGAAGAATACCCTGATCAACGGACTATACCCATCTGCTAAATTTCCCGGACTGTATAGAAAAACGCCGAATATTGGCCGTCAGATTCGCGACGCGTACCAGCGCGTCTTTGACAAGTACGTCGTCATCATGCCCACAACACCATTCGTTGCGCCGCGGCATGCGGACTGGAAAAGGCACGGGGTCCTCGGGTCCTTTGAGCCCACATGCACTATTTGGTTGACCACAAACACGGCCGTGTTTCCTGTCACGGGACACCAGGGCATAAGTCGTAGGCTCAGCCGTCCTATTCACGTATATATAGTAGTCACTCAACCCCCACTTATTGCTAAAACATCAAAGACTTTTAACATTCTTCGAGATTATCGTAGAATCAAGTGTTTTGCTCTAAGCCTTCGTATCGAGCCCTCGTCACAGTTCCTCTTGGGTTTCTTCCCTCTGCGGACGATCAAAACGTTCGACTGCCCGTCGGCATGCGGATTGTACGAGGTCTCTGGGGGGAGGAGACGGTACCGATGGATGAACATGCCTGGGAGTCGAACTTTGACTGACGCAACTATCTCCAAGGACGATGAAACACTGTGTTTCGGAGGGCTCAAAGCCAGGCTTCTCCCCGTGTGACAAGGGTTCAAAGGCTTGGAGCACAGGACTCAATTCAATGATATTCTCGAAGGATGTTTAAAAGTCTTTGGCGTTTTAGCAAGAAGAAGGGGATCAGTAATTATTATATATACATGAAAAGAACGTCTATGCCTAGGGCTTCTGCCCGGTCATGTGTTCAGTCTGTGTAACCTCTGGGTCCTTTGTCGGCGATGCCCCTTTGTTGGGCTTCATTGTTGGGTCTCAACCGTGTAACAGCGACCGTCACCTACTTCGCATCCCTAGTTTATCGTGTACCCTCCATCCACCACCAGGGCATGACCTTGAATAAACGACGCATGCTTGGAGCACAAGAACAAAACCGCATCGGCAATCTCCTCTGGTCTCCCCATGCGCCTCATCGGCGCAATGTCAATGGCTGGTCTGATGCGAGCCTTGACCTCATCAGAGCCCGTCGTCATGGGTGTGGCGGTGATGCCGGGACAAACACAATTCACTCTAATGCTATCGGATGAGTAATCTATGGCATCAGAGCGTGTCATGTTCATAATGGCGGCCTTGGACGCGCAATATGCGGCCGCATTTGGCCGGGCCACGATGCCTAGATTGCTGGCAATGTTGACCACGGCACCACGCTGCTCTGGGTGCTCAGGGAGCGGCTGCTGCTTGACCATCTGGCCCAGCACGGCGCGCGACAGCAGCCAAGATCCCCTGTAGTTGACGTTGGTGATTTTGTCGAATTCCGACACTGGTGTTTGGTGAGAGCGCAGGGACGGGCCAAGGATGCCGGCACAGCTCACGGCGTAGTCTATGCGGGTGAAGATGCCGGTTGATTTCGACACGAATTCGTCGACAAAGGATTCGTCAGACACGTCGCCAGCTTGGCTGGAGACGCTGGCCTTGGGGTTGATCTCAAGGATGGCCGCACGAGTGCTTTGTAGTGACGTTGGATTAATGTCTGTGATGGCGAACCTGGAACACCCCGACCGAGAAAAAGCCTTGCATACAGCTGCTCCAATACCTGTACGTGGTTCAGTATTCGTCGGTTGTGTGATTTTAAATTGCGGAGAAGAAGAGAAGTGATGCTGACCTGTGCCACCCGCACCGGTGATGAGCGCTACGCCTGGGAGCCTAAACATGGTGTTTGAGGTGTATTCCCGGTTTGACGCTCACATACGATACACTCGATATCCGAGTTACTTTGGCGCAGTATTCCGTATCGCCACTAGTTGTGATCTCTTGTGCGATTGACTCAATATAATGAGCCCTCTGGGTAGCCCGGACACGGCACTCCGTCGTACATTGTATGTGGCCAGGACAAATCCGTGCCGAGATGGCACGTGAGCGCTTGGGAATACATCAATATTTGGGGTCAACCTCGGTACGACTCTGTACGAGCCTGACCCCTCCAATAAAGTTTTATTCTATCTCTTGGGCTGATTTGCTGGCTTGCAGTACTGGCTGGCATTTCCCTCAACTACCCCATCCCAACCTCCAACCAGACCAGTACTGTCATGCGTCACATTTGATGGTGTCCACGGCGATGCTGTACGCAAGTGCAGACGCCAAAGAGCCGGAGCCTGGAGACAGACTCTGCCCAGCGGACCGAGCATTTGGAGCGGCATGTGAGAACCCGTACGTACTGTTTGCACTGTACCCCAAAGCGAATGCGAAATACGCCTTGACTCTTGAGTCCTCGCAGATACAAAGAAGAAGCCGTTCGGGCGTAATTAACGTGGATTGGCATTTGCGCGGTGCGACTTGCTGACTTGTTATCGACGCATCACGTTGCACGAACATATCAATAACCCACGAGAGCCCAGAAGGCAAAGACGAAGATCGGACAGCAACACCGGGGAGTCGCCCAGAGACGCCATTCCACTCCTGGCAGCCGACCTGGACAGCCTCATCATCTTCACCTGCCCGAATACAGAGCGTCGGGTACATCACGAGCCGATCCTCGGCTTACAGGGCTTCGATTCAGGCACACGCTTACATCCAGGACTGTTACGAAAGCTTCCGAGAAGTCCTCGACTTAGACTTTATATTTCCTTCCGCCACGCGCTCACGCTCCACATATCATCCTTCTTTGACGGATTCCGCCTCCATATTCCCTTTATCCATTGGGATACATCTCAGGTTACCGAGTTCTACCAAGGAATGGAAAGCCACGACAGCCCTGGAGTGGCAGCTCGCGAGACACGAGACTCCCAAGTAACAGCACTTCTTCGAGGAGACGATATCGCACTCGCTAAGGAATCGAGACACTGCCGCACCGTTGGATCCTATCCCGACACCCTTGTGGAACTGTGTCTTATTACACGGCCTCCTGCACCAGATTTACATTGTGCGCGACGTCTCTCTGCCTGTCATGGATGGTCTGGCGGCTTTGCCTGCCGAAGAGGTTGAAAAGCTTGAGTAAGTACTCACCAGAACGACTCTTGAACTACTTGTTATGTGGCTCGCGCTGACGGGTGCGTAAATAGGCGCGGCTTGCGATCGTGGACGTCGGGCTGGCAGCAAACCCCCCGAGTCTGAAGAAGCATCGAAAACTCCTGATTCGAAGTAGGCGAGCCGCCTGAAGCTGCAACCTGTTAGTTAACAAGACAGCAAGGCGGTAAACATCGCAGAACTACCCAGGAGAGGCTACGGCGTTCTATTGGGTTTGGTCTCTTCCCATCTATGGCTGCGCCCGCGCGAACTCCGGCCCTGCCTCCCTCCGGCTGAAGGGGCAAAATCTGCGTCCTTCCATTGAACAAACGGAATAGGGTTCCGTTGCAAGGATTTCATGATTTTTCCTATCATTTAGAAGAAGCGTCCCTGCTCTTATAGAATCCCATTAGCCGTCCCTTCTCGCAGAAGAGCAGGCCTAGAGACATCGCGCCCGGGGTATTCGATGCACTCCTAGTAATAGTAATAGCCGGTGACGAGCGATCCTGCGTCACAGAAGCACTAACAACCGCAAGCTATCTATCGCGTCAAATTTTGAATCAAGGCTCGAGCTACCACTTATCCCCTCCTATTCTGCTCCCGCTGTGAGGAGCCTAATTACCACCTTGGAGAGACCAATGCGACAAGCTAGTACTACCGCATGCTTAATGAATATATAAACCGTAAACTGAAGCAAAAACAGTGTTGATAAAAGCACCTAGATTAAAAGCCACAAACCGATTTCTGACGTGGCGTGGCAAAGGTGAAACAAGAATAGGTCAAGCCTCTTACTTGGCGGTCCGGCGCATGACGATTTGGCAAATGTGAAACTTTTGTATCATGTTAGACAGGGGTGCCTCAGGTTTTATTTTCCCAATGAGAACCGTCAGGGGGGGTAATGAGGACCGTTTAATGGCGATGCTTTGGTCTGGTGCAACCAGTCAACTAGCTTGAAGGGTGAAATTAATGAAGCCACAAAACACTAGGTCAGACACAGCACAAAGTATCAGTCGATAGGGTGAGATAGACTTATAATACCAATAGTTACCTATTTTAAATAAACTTGAGGTGTGGCATTTTGGTCAGTCTATTATATGAAACTGTAAGCGAGTAAGTGTGCGACTAGGGTACGTAATAAGATATACTTGGCTCGCGCATGCAAGTAAACACTACCCACACGAAGTAAATACCCTGCTCCTTGCTAAACAGTTCCGCGGATATTCTTTAAAAAGACACGTGTCGGCTTGTTTCATGAGGCACAATTAGCACGTATACAAGATTCACTGAATTATGCGAAACGCTCAAGTGCTGCATAGACTAGATTAACTCTGAACAACGTATAAAGTAAATCAAGTATCCCCAGTCACATCTACAACCTATCCAAGACCAATAGATCGAAATCCAAATCAATATCTACGACACCACTCTCACAATGCATCTCAACATTGCTATTATTGCGCTGGCTATCGCCGCCCCGGTCGTTATAGCCGAGGAGCTCCATGCAAACGACGTCCCGCCAGCGTGCGCGGTAATCTGCCAACCCATTGTCTCTTTAACAAACACGTGCGACATCAATCCAAACGACAAGGATGACGATGACGACATGGATAAAAGGCAACTGCTAGACGCCCGTGACGCAGACGAGGCCGATGAGCGTATTGAAGCAGAATGCATTTGCAAGAACAAGAGCTTCAATGTTGCAACTGTCATGGCTCTCTGTGCGAGCTGCATCGCGCAGAATGGACGCAAGACAGAAGGTATGAAGGGACTGATATAATTCGCATAACTGCAACTTGGCATCTAACATTAGGTTAATTAGATGTTAACGACATCATGTTGCAATGCTCCTTCTCCTCTGTCTCTTATTCCCCGTCGTCGACTGGCATTGTCAGCGGCATCCAAGTTCAAGCAACAAAGCCAGCCATGGGAAATACTCCGGCCAAAACAACGTCTGCTCCAGCTGCTACTAAAACATCAGGGGCTGGCGGTGTAGGCAAGTTGGCCAGCTCGGCAACGACTGTAGTTGGTGTAGTTGTTGCAGTTATCGCGGCAGGTTTGCTATGAGGCTGTTACACGGAAAAGGCCCAACAGATCGTGAAGCCCAAAAAAGGGGCTTCACCGATACAGGATTTGTTAGTTACACGGCTAGAACGCGTGCCCGGGCAAGGACCCTAGGCCCGGGCGTTCTTTTCATGTATATAAGGCGGTCACCCTTCTCTTCCTTTCTCGTAGCAACTCAGGACCTTTGACATCCTACGAGATTATTATTGAATAGAGCCCTTTTGCTCCAAGCCTTCACATTGAACCCTTGTCACAGAGGCGGAATGGCTGGATGCCATGGTGTGGCGGCTGTGCGTCCCGTTGTACGATTAATACGTCGTCTGTCCAAGTAATTGACGCCATTTTAACAGTTGGCGACGTCGAATACCCTTTTTTTTTTAGCCCGTGAATTTCTGTTGCAACAGCTAGTGTTTGGGGCTGCTGGCACCACCCGGGTGCTTATTCTGTTGAAAGGTGTCAATGGAAAAGGCCTGTATTCTAAATTCTAGCTGCTACCCAAGCTGCTTCTGCGGAGGTCGGAGGCCTTTGGAGACCTCCGAAAAAACGGGCGATTCGAGGTCATTGTCAACTATTGGAGAGGCCTCATATTCCTCGATAGAGAGCTTCAATCAAGGACAAATGCCACTATACAATTCAATCCATAGCTGCTTGATCGTGACAAAAGGCTTTTTAGTAAGAATCTCTGCATAATGTGCGGTTCATCACGAGAATATTACGTGTCATCTAGTGGCTAGCAGGTCAAAACTAGAGACTGTGACAGCTACCGCCGCCGCCGCCCCATCTATATGATAATGCTATAAACGGCATAATACTTTCTGGTTGGTCAATCTAGGCCTGGAATAGCTCCCCGGACATGCTTGCGTATGATCATTTGAACAGGCGAAATAGCAGAAAAGCAGGTCGATCAAGATCTAGGGGGCATAGGTAATGGGTGTCACCCAGGAAGTCTGCCGCGTAGTCGCCGGGTTGGAGGCTTACCGCGAAGAAATGACGGGGTGTAATGAATTGCGTGTATTGGCTACACGGTGAGCACAGACTGATGGCTGTTCAATTGTGCACAGTTGGCAGTATATGATAACGGGGGGAAATGTTCTGCGCTGATACACTCTCCTATTATGTATTGATAACTGGAGCTGACCGACAGCTCTGAATGGAAATTGCAAAGGTTTTCAGGGACGACTGCCTTGATAAGAATCAGGCTCAAGTACCATAATGGTTATTTGCAGAGGACTCTTGCAAGTCGTGATTGAACTAGAATGATATTTCCTATTCAAATTGAGAAGATGAAACGACTCGCTAGAATGACTGAGCAATTGGGTCCGCCAAGGTTGAGGTATGACACAGCTTATCTCAAGAAAATTCATATACAATGAGGAGAAACTAAGTCCGTGAAGGAAAATGCCCAACTTTACAGTGCAACGTGTTGGATCACGGCTTCGATGCCCCATTGGGGCTCGAAAATTCCGATGCCACGCAGTATGTGTTGCAACTCAGCGTCGTATTATGACAAAATGGCTGAAAAACAATAGAAAGCGCTCATTTCACATTGCAAGCTACGAAGGCTGTGTGAGTGACGTTGGACATTTCGTTGGCCGAAAAAAGATAACTCACTGCAGCCCGAGGAATCACGGCATAATATAGGTGCAGGTTCTGCCACGACAGAACTTGCACATACTCATTAAAACAATTGGAGTGCTTCGATAAAATGGTTCAGTATACAGAAAGAGTATGCTCGAGAAAATCTGCTAGTTCTGCGGGTTGAATTATTAAACACATTAACCTCAGTACAAGCAGAGTTGCATCTGCTATGTCGTAACAGATATTGCTAGCCTATGCCGTGAGACGTGCGTGATATATGCACTATCCTACTGGAATAGGTAGACCAAAGGCGAGATTTGCATACAGCGTTCCACAAGACTCTCTTGCTCGGAAGTAGAATCGAATTGTGGCCTTCCTTGATGCAGGAATGCATCATGTGCCAAAAAACGGAGCAATGTTAGAGTAAGCAAAAAGCAAAGATGCAGTGGCCTGGAACTCACTGCTGGTAATCAAGGAAACGTAGACGTCGCCCTCCAATGCTGTGGCTTTCAGGCCACTTCTGTGTTCCGGTCACCTGAAGCGGGCAGAATATTGATTGGATAACTATACTATACTAGAGGTGTCGCTTACGTTGTAGTTGCTTACCTGCGTGAGTCACCACATGCATAATATCAGAAAGCCCCAAGAGCTGACCACGTTGTACGGCTCGGTATTCGGCTGTCGATGGATTCCATACCCGCGTCTGATGCACGGTGTCTCTCCTAGCTTCGTGAGTCGGAATCATGACACGTTGAAGACCCAGGAATTCTAACTGGTCAAACAATCTTGACTTGAGCTGCCGTGTTTGACAACAGGACGCCCTCACGGCAGAAGCTGAACCGCCAGTGTGCCCAATTCGCAAATCATTTCCTAGAAAGGCTAGATTTCATGTCTCGCTGGTCTTCTATCAAAAATTGATCGGAAATCGACTTAATGCAAGGGTATAACAACGGAATCCAGCGTAATATAAATAGGTATCGTCTATCCTCAACATACCGTGCCATTGATCAACACGGACTTCTTCATCAATAGCAACTACAAACATGCACATCTCCGCCATTATTCTCTCAGTCTTATTCGCCACCCTTAGCTATGGCGACAAAAGCACCCAAGATGCTTCAGGCATAGGCGAAAGGGCAGCCGATGCTCAATTTGATCCCAACACCTGGTACCGCCTTACCAACACGTATCTTGGCTACTCCCAGTCTCTCGACGTCATAAATGACAACGGCCCCAATAGCAGCGGCACTTTGAAGATGGCCGAATCTGGCAGATATTCCGGACAATTCTGGCAGCTTATTCCCCAATCTCCTGGGGTCTACAAGCTGCGCACACAGTTCCTCGGTCCCAATCGGGTGCTTGACGTATGGGGGGACGATAAAACTAAGCCGCACCTAGCTGAAAAGGGGAATTACTCTGGACAACTCTGGACGATAACGAGCTGGGGCGACGCGACATGGAAGCTGACAAACGCATATTCGGGGCCGGACTTGCATTTGGATACATATTCGGATACTCACGTGCCATTCATGGGGAGCGGCGACGCCACGGGCCAGCATTGGCATATTACAGCCATCGAGCGTATCTCGGGGTGACGGTCTTTTAGGGTTATAACGGTCTTTTAGGGTTATATCACACTGCAGTGTCAGAATGTAGTATTTGTTTTAATCTCAACCAGATTGACTTTATCTGTTTCCCGAGTGATCCGCTATTGGCGTTTATGAGTGCTCTGCATGAGAATTCGTAGCATCAATTCAAATACGCGCCAACTCGATACGTAGTTCTAGATGCTTATCCTTATGGAGCAATGGCGAGCTGTTGACCAGATCAGCCGGCACATGATTTTTCTCATCAACAGCATTCACGTCGGCCCCGTTTACCACCAGCACATTTGCCATGCCAACAGCACCGTGGACCATGGCCCAGTGCAGTGGTGTTCTGTCTTTTATCACCGCAAGCGACTCGTTGTTGTTGGGCTGAAGATGCTCAACGACGCGGGAGCCCCAGGTGCCAACGTCCTGGTTAGACACGCGGAGTGGTTCGCGACCAGTCGTTGAAACAGCCAATATGGTAGCCCGGGCATCAACTGGTACACCTCTGGCAATTAATTCCGTGGCAAGTTCTGCCAACTCGTTGTTGCTGCCCCTGTCATCCAGATAAAGCGACAAACAGTGCAACGGTGTCCAACTCTCGGCTATGTATGCAAGGGGATCAGCGCCATGATCTAGCAGAATTCTTGCCGCCTGCAGTGTTTTGTAATAACGCGGCACACAGGTACTCGTCTGAATTGCAGCTGACGGGGCCAGGGCACACGTCAACGGAGTTCAGCCGTTGTCGTTGGCGGCATGGACATTTGCACCGGACGATAGTAGAAACCGCAATATGTGAATCTTCTTACCAGCGGCAGCCCAGTGAAGCAGTGTCTCCCCGCTATCATTCTTGATAGATTTTAACGCGTTGCCATGTGGACTATTGACAGGGAGGGCAGTGGTGTAGAGGGAGAAGATGTGCAAATTGGATCCAAACGCAGCGTAGTGCAGCGGCGTGTTGCCAAGTTCATCCCGGACTGTGACAGACGCGCCGAGTTGCAATAACAACCGAATCCCTGTTTCGTGAAGGCACCACTTGGGACCTCTCCTATCTCTACTATGCGCCGGTGACCCCAGATGGTGAAGGGCGGTTTTGCGTGCGGCGTCCCGTCGGTTCGGATCAGCGCCCTTTTCAAGGAGCACCTTAAGAGCTCTAGCCAAGTCAACCCATGTTACCGCTTCAATGAGTGCACATGCAATATTTGCCCCGTCAGCTTTGCCATCCAGGTCGGTCCCTGCATCGACAAGGCAGCTGATAAGCTGTTGCTGCTTTAAATAGTCCAGGCCGCCGTATTCTGCTTAGTTATAGGGGGGCAGAGGGGACTTAAAGCCGGCTGCTTGGCAGAGACATGCGTTAATGCAGAGCGGCGAGTAGTTAAAGCAGACCAGCAGAAGCCGGATAACTTTGATGTTCTATCTAGACACTGCGTGCTTAAGGGCATGCTCTAAGAAAGCTTCCACCAGCTATCAGCCTAACCTAAGACATCCTTAACCATAGCCACCTGAGCAATAAAAGCTGTTTGGTCTAGAAGAGTATAATAGTGCTGTTGCGAAATTTCATTGTTTCCTAAGGCCATCTTCTTGTATATTCGACAGAATATGTCCCAGTTGCCTGCTCGAATCGCCATGTCAACCGCCGAAGTTTTCGACATAGTTTGATCGCTGAAAGCCCAAGGACTTGGTCGGTACTTAAGATAGTTTAAACCAATCTCCACTAACAAAGACCAACAAAGGCCGGGTAGCTCAATGGTAGAGTGTCTGACTACGCAGCGAACCAGTATCCTTATAGTATCCTTAGCCCGTAGTCAGAAGGTTGTAGGTTCGAATCCTGCCCCGGTTAATTCTTTTTTTTTTACGCAGGCATCAAGGAAGATATCTACCGCTGCTCTGGTATCGCATACTACGGCGATTTGAAGAGCTGAGCCGAACTCTATGTCACAGTGGTGCCAGCACGGTGCCCGCACCGCCGCAGGCCCCTTAAGAGCCCCACCACTAGTACTCATCGAAGGGCGAGGCTGGACGCTCCGGATTAACGTTCGAGCGCGTCGGCTTAGCTAAGCCTAACCGCTAGGGTAGGCTAGCATTATTAATAGGCAGCTAACCTTGAGCAGGAAATATATGCAGCTCAGTCGAGTTCAATTCTCACTCATGTCCTCTGTGAGACGGCTTTCGAGACTGCTAATATCTCTCATCTCGGCTATATGCTGCCTTCACTTCCTGTTAAAAAAGCTTAGTCACCGAGAGACATCACACTAAGAATACCACTGGTAAAGGGTACTGCCGAACGTTATGACCAACGGGCGGAATGCTTCGGCAGGGCAAATCCACGCGTGGAGCGGTATTTTCATCCGTCTATTTACATATGGGATATCGGGAGTAATATTTATTTGCAGTCCAGGGTGTTGGTAATAGTAGAGCTGTATCCACCACCTGTAGCCATGACGCTCCTCCCCTTCAGTTTGTTACTTACGACAACGGATCACAAGGAACTGGTCCGTACCCGAAGAAGAATGCGGGCGCCTTAAAGACTATTCGGTCTCAGGCAATGAGAGACTATGTATGGAAAGAAAATCACCCTTCATTAGCTAGCAAGAATGGTACTAGCGCAACCGCAAACCTTGGCAAGTACTCGAATCAAATAGGACGATTCAGGTTGAGACCTAAGTCGGCGGCATTAATATCAAGATCACGAAATGAGAAGCAAGAGAAACAGAATTCCATCTCTTTCTCTAAACGTATGGATGGCGCCCTCCCACACTCAATACTCGAAGAGTTAGATTTCAGCCTACTTCTTCAACGCCAAGTCTTGTACGGGTCACAAGCTACGATGGCCAATCGCCTCAATCCTTTGGATATAACTTTGCTAAACTTGGGGCCAAAAAGTGAAAAACTCATACTCTATTGTACGTTTCAAGATATTCTTTAATGTGGCAAACATATGCTTAACCCATGAAATGTTTTCCGCAGATTATCAAGCGTACACTATGAACATGGTGGCTCTCGGTTTTCCAGCCGATTGCCTTTCGAATGCCATAACTGACCTTGCTCTATTACATGCAGTCCTGTATATTGTATCTACTGATCTTGATATTAAACGAGGAATTTTAGACTCTGCGCTGAGCGTTCATCACGGGACCGAGGCTATGCGATTGATCAACAAACACCTTGACAGCAGAGGCAGCTTGCCCGACACTACAATTGCAGCTGTTGCAATAATCGCAACCAGAGAGGCATGCCTGACCATCTCACCAACACAATCTTACTAAGAATGGGCGGTTTTGCTAACCAATATTAATTTGCATAGAACCTAAGCGGTAGGTTCCGATCCGCGAACATACACATGACTGGATTGCAACACATGATTGCACAGCGAGGAGGGATACAAAATATCAAAGCCATACACAGGCGGGTAGCAACATGGTAAAATTCACATAGTTGCCAATGGCTATCATTTTACTGATTTTAGAACAACTCAGGTCAGATTTCTGCGACTCAAATATTCGAAACTGTCAACCTCGTTTCTGTCCCCCTCCGTGCGCACCTCGAATACTCATCAACCATTCAAGTGCCGCGGAGCGCAATATGCTTGATCTAGCAGATGTTTTTGGAACTGCATCACCAGTTTTACCAATCATTCGGGAGCTTCGAGATGTATCCATTGTCATGGATCCAAATTATGCTGGCGTGGTGGATAAGACATTTGCCACTCAGGCAGTTTATGACGTCGAATACGATCTCGCCTAATTAAATGAAGCCAAGTCTGAGGCCGATAGATTAGAGACAGACCTACTGCCAGAACCTATATCGTTAAAATTAGCGCTACACATCTACCTTTATCTCATGATACGGGAACTTCCGAGCACTTCACCAGTAGTTGACGAGATGGCTAGGCGATTACGCCTTGCCTTGGAGCCACGGAAACACCAGTGGTTGATTTGGGGGAGAGGCTCACAGTGTTGGTTGCTTTGGATGTTATTTGTTGCCTATGCAAGTGCATCAGAGTGTCAAAACAAACAGTGGTTTTTGCAGAACTGCCTATGGTTCTGTAACGTGCTCAACTTGTTGACGAGAGAGGATCTACGCTCTGTATTGAGGAGTGTGATGTGGAATGCCATCCAAAGTGAGACTCATATGGATAGATTATGGCAGCAGTTGCGCCGTCCAGGTGCAGTCAACCTCGCGGACTTGTAACTGTCAAGGCGACAGATGTGTTGAGCTTACGTCATATTCAGGCTGAATACTCAAAAAGAGGCCGATGATTCCTCAACCTGTATGGTAGCACTTGAGTTTAATGCAGATAAGTATGACAGTCATCTGTTTGTTAAACTACATGCTGCATTTGGATATGCTGCAACGTAAATTTTTAGTGGTATTTGGTCGACCAGAAGACCTCGGCTCCTCCTCTAAATACCCATCATGCCCTGCTGACAATCAACACGAGGTTTTAAATTCCCACGAGATCCTTGGTATCCAACTCATTGGATGGCACAAAGATTTCATCGGCTTGCTCATCAATATTTTTTGGCTTTCGACCCAAAAGTGTCTCCAGCAAAGGGTCCAGAAACGCCTTTTCTCCTTGCGCAATGTTTTCGCAAGTGGAAAGAATGGCGTTGGCTATCTTATACACGCAGCCACCTCTCGAGACCGAAGCCATGGAGAGTGTCTGGCCGTGAAACGAGGATGCTCAATTACAAATGCCGAAAAACAGATACTAATAGAGAGCAGAAAAGGGAAGCACACCAACTCGCCCACTTCTACAAACAAGAATCAAATGGTAATGCAACGTAGTTTACTTGCTTGCATTTGAAATGCCATCTTTCTAAAAATTACCCAAGCCGAATAATGCTCCGCATAAACTTTGTACGATGGCGGCAAGAAAAAAATTTCCTTATTTGGATAGAGCTCTGCATGTTGGCGGAGGTGGCGTGGACAACTATTCAGCTTGATTGGTCACCCTCAGAGTAAGTGGGGTAAGACACACACGACCCAGTTGACTTGTGATTGTTAAAAGTCGGTCTTGTACTGCCGTGGCATCATGGTGGCATTTCTTCGTCGCGGCTAAGCTCAATTTAGGAATATTTCAATTGCTAACACAGCTGATGATTATAAATTCGTCCGAGGGTG